GGGGGGGGGACGCCTGACAGAATCGGAGCTGCTCTATTCACAGGCTTTTCTTCTTGCGCTCTAAAACAGTCATTTCAATTCAACCTTTATTCCTACGGTTGTTTGTCTCATTGAGCCTCGAGGACTCATTTACAAGAGAGACTTGTTTTTAATCAATTTAATCAAATGTTTACAAATGTAGGAAATGGCATCTCTTATTACAAATAAAAGACCCGAAACCGCCCGCTATTTGTGTTCCAGCATCAATCAGTTTACAAATTAAGCCCTGCGTGGCCCTAATGCTCCGTCGTAAAGGGACACACTAGTGAGCCAGCGGCTCCAGCCTTAATGAACGGACACCGCACCGCCCAGGCGAAATGAAGCTGTTTTGACCATTAGATAAACACAACAAGTCAGCGGTGACGCATAATAAATGAGACTTGTTTATGTTTTTGTTTCCTCTTCATGATGCTTTTTTTGACCAATGCGACTTATACTCCGGAAAATACGGTATTTAGAAGTATGAACTTTGCAACACCAATAAATGTTCCATCACGGGGCCTCGTTCTCCTTCGTTAAATTCAACACGGTAATACAAGAAGAGCACACAGAACGACCATCCAGTAGGATTAGATTGTGTATTTTTGTTTTGTATATGTACAGATCATCAAACCAGCTCAGATACAAATGTCACACCTCAACACGTAGATGACAAACGATTCCTGTAGAATCATTTGAAGAGATCTGCTTTGGGCTTCTGCTACAATATGCGACACATTTTGACCACTATATTCAGTTAGTGGTGTAAAAACATCCACTCACGCTCATTTATGATGATAAAAGTGGAGAAACAGTTGAACGAGTGGAACACCGTGGCTGTGTTAAACCTTGTTTTGGTGAGATTTATTTTATACGAGTAATAAAAAATAAAAAAAATACAGCAGAAACTGCATAAAACGTGCAATTCTCCTCTAAAACACAAGAGTTGGAATGATTGTTTAGTTTCAGCCACCCAAAAAAAAAAAATTACCGGTAAATAAATGGGGATTATTGCACTCGACTCATCTAAGGCCTCTTACCCAGTATCACAAAAACATAAAAGCCAAGGCCCTCTTTTTTTTTAAATAACTATATTTACACGTCATACGAGTGTCCGTCACCAGCATGGGGTCCTCAGCTGAAAAGTGCCCGAGTAGAAATATAGAGATAAGTCTTTATTTCATAAAAGTGATATTAGACCCTGAAGGCCTCATGTACAGCATCGAATCAGACAGGAAATAAAATGTGATTGGTCGCTTGACACAAGAATAATCCTTTTTTTTTTTTTTTTTAAAGTGGGAGTATTTTGTGAATGAAGTAACAAAATAAGTGATCTGCAAAGGATAAAAGTAAATGAGTGAAGTTTAGCTTTACAGGTGTACACCTTGTAAGGCACAATCAAGCAGTGAACATTACTTATGTCGCACAGGATGGGTTACCATGGAGACGAACTATAAAGAAGCTGCTTTTGTTTGTTTGTTGCCAGATTGAAACTTAAATTTTCTACTCGTGCTTGATGTGTTCCTCCTGGATGCAGATCAGCGGCTGCAGCTTTACCTCCCACTGGACTCACTCTTGATGGATATCTTTGTTCCTTCGCCAAAACATCTGATCGCTTTAGACACGCAGCGAATACGAAAATATCCCCGAAAAATCACAAAAGCCTGAACGGGAGCAGATGTGAAGTCTTTTACGATGCGACAGAAAAACACTCAAAGACGGAACCTTTCTAAATAAACGTCATTAAATCTTAGCCCGACTCATTTTGATGCCCCAAGAACGTCAAGTACAAAACAGTAGGAAACCCCGCCCCCCTCCACTTTAACCATTTGTCCTTCTGGTCTGGTAGGAATGGAAATCTGGTGCAGGTTCATTTTCCAGCAGAATGTGAGCACAAATCAGATTAAATCCAAGCGAGATTAAAAATACAAACATCGTGACCCTTAAAAATGACTAGAATTCAAAGCTCCTGGTCTTTCAGCCAAACAAGTCTTTGAGATCATTGTTCACAGATGCACTTTGTTTGACTCCGCTCGGGTTCATTGTCGGGGCAGCAGCTGGTTGAGCAAAGTTCTGCGGGCTGAAAAAAGGGTTCGCTTGCATCCCAAACCCACTGGACATCCCTCCCATTCCCCCCGTCACACCCTGCATCTGAGTCTGAGCATTCTGGGCTGAACCGAACGGACTCAGCCAAGGAGTGTTGGCTCCGGGGGCATTAGGACCCATTTGGTTGAGAGCCACTTTGGGCTTGCTGGCTGTAAACAGACTGTCCAGGGCTGACATGTCAGTGGGTTTACTTGTTTGCCCTGGGGGTGCTTGGTTCTGCATGAGGGCTCCAAAGTTTGGGGCGCTGGTGGTGGAGGCCATTCCGCCGTAGAAGCCAGGACCTGCAGGCCCCATCCCTCCAGTCTGGAAGCCCAACGGTGAATTGAAGCCATTTGAAACTGGGGGACGCATGGAGCCAACGAGGGGGTTAGAGGCAGGGAAGGCAGACATGGTAGCGCCCTGCACTGGGGGCGGTCGTGCTGAGTTGACCAACGACAGACTATTCAGAGACGCCATGTTGTTGTGCAGGCTGCTGGTCAAGTCCTTCGTCTGCAAGATAAAGAAACGATACGCCGCGACGGATTAGATCAGAGAACCGCAACTTTTACAGTCAAGGAGCTATTTCTGCTCCGTCTACTAAATTAAATGTATCCAGAGCCGCAAAACACAAGTAAAGCTGCTTTTTCCATCTTATTAAAGTGAACTTAAAAACGAGGCCAGTTTGTAAAGTATTTGTGAGTAAATGTCTGGTAATTTCATTTCATTTATTTAAATTAGGACAATGCATATTAATCAACATGTCAGTGGTAAGCATCAATGTAAACATGCTGAAGTTAGCAAAACAGCTAATTTTCATCCCTTGTCCTAAGGCAGGTAAGAACAAGAAACATCCCAGAAAACAAAGAGCAGAGAATAATACAAACATCACATATATAACACAACACTAACACAGATGGTTGCTCATTATCTGCTGGCAGCCAAGACACATAGACAAGAGTTCTGGAACCAGTGAGACACCGGCATCATAGCGCTAGAAAGTACAGCAGCAGCTTCGTTTTTTGTTTTTCCATGAACATACAATACAGTATCATCCGCATATAATTGCATTTTTACAGTTGTGCATACATTTGGTATCATTAACAATCATTAACATATAGGCTAAATAAGATTTGTCCCAGTATTGAGCCTTGTGGGACTCCAGCTGAGCAGGTAAGAAAGGTAGATCGTGAGTTTTCTATTTGTACTACTTGTTTTCTGTCAGACAGATATGATTTCATCCAGCAGAGGGCACTAGCACAGAAATTAAAATGAGTTTAGCAAGAACGTTGTGGTTGATGGTGTCAAAAGCACGTTTCAGTTCAAGGAACAAAGTAAAGAATAAAGGCAGAAACCTTCATTTAATTCACCTTTTAGTAGGTTTATATTGAAGGAGTTTAAATCTTCATTGCTAGTGGGATGACTTGCCATATTTTAGAAGCCTTACTTTAGTCACGTGCATTAGAATAAATAAATAGTCACTGTGTGTAAAATTGCACTTTAAGCTTTTTGTAGGAAACTTGCCACAGATGTGTTGGAGTTGTTGCTCAAATGTTGAATTTTCTGGTAGATTTCAGAGAAAAACCAAACTGTGTGGCTGGAAGGTTAATGAACTGACTAAGTCACATATTTGCATAAAATTGGATAGTGAAATAGCTAAAACTAACCTTCACTATCAAAAATATATTCAATTTCATTTGCGTGTTACTTTAAGTTAAAAAGGTATTAAAACACTAAAAGTGACTGCTCATTTTGTTTTATTTCTGTCAGTTTTTCTCCCTCCAAAGTGCAGCGTGGCATGAAAACCTGTGTTTTGGGGAGATATTTGCCGGCCTCACCTGTGAGCTGCTGGTGCTTGCAGGTTTGATGGTCTGCGGTGCCAACGGTTGCTGGCTCCTCAGTTTGGCTGCTTGTTCCTGCTCTTTAGCCAGTCTTTGTTTCTCCTCCAGAGTCAGAGACATCTGAGTCACGACAAGGCAGAGAGGACAGTATGGCACACCGAAAGTAACTTTTTTTTTTTTTGCACAAAAGTGTGATGTAGTGAGCATACTCTGTTAGGCTGGGAGGTCGATGCAGCAGATCCATTTTCTTTCCCGTTAACACTCGTGCTGCCAAATATTTCATCAATCTGACAGCAAACCAAAAAAAACATGAATTACTACCATTCACCACTTTTTTGGGAATATTTCAAAGTACTGTATTTTTCAGACTATAAGGTGCACTTAAAATCCTTTAATTTTCTCAAAAATCGACAGTGAGCCTCATAATGCGGTGCGCCTTATAGTCCAACAAAATACAGTAAGTACAATACATAAGAATGAAACCTGGTTTCCAGAGCTGGGCGGGCTCTTGGTCTCATCCGATTGGTTGGCTGGATTTGAGATGTTTAGACTCCTGTTATAAACGAGAGGTGAAAGTTATCAACCGCTTGTTGATTTTTCTATTAGAGATGAAAACAAACGGTTCATTAAATTTGGAGGGAAACCTCTGCTGCTCCTGCATGATGTGTAGCTGCTCCAGCTTGGTCTTGTGTTCAGCCTCCATGCGACTCAGCATGTCACGGATAACCAGCATGAAAGAGTTGAACTGAAACGCATCAGAAATTACATTAAACACTACTTACATATGGCATACTAAACATGTTAGAAATTAATTATTTTTTTCCTTTAGAGGCCGGACAGTGACGCACCTGATTAAGGTTGAGGTTGTTGTCTATACTAAGAGACACAAGGTGGGGCAAGCTCTTGGTGGCAAGATGCTCTTTGGGGATCCCAAGCTTCTTGTGGCTAAAAGTGCACTTATAGATCCCTAAAACATGGAGGAAACAAGTGTTTTAAAGGGAAACTAATCTGCGTGGGACCAGTGGAGCGACGTGGCTTTGACTTGTTCACCTAAAACGCCCATGAGTACTGCTGGTTCTCTAGAGGGGATCTGCTGCAGGAAGGGTAGGATCTCGTCGATGACAAACCACTTATCTAGATATTCCAAAATCTTTCCCAGACACACCAGAGAGTTCACTCGCACCTAAAGGAAAGAGAGGACAGCTCAAAAATGTGACATTTTCTTTGCATTTTATGCGAGTAGAAAGTAGAAAGCGTTTGGAGAGCAACAGATGATTGACGGAAGACTCACAGCGAGTGAGGAGGTCTGTAGGCAGGCGGATTTGATTCGGGGGATGAGGGAGTTCTTCATGGACGGGTAGTCCATCAGGTTGGCAAACGTCGGGATGATGTTCAGGCACAGCTCCTGCTCACCCACAGAGAAGATATTACAGCATGTGACAGCTTTAACAATGCAGAGAGCATCGAGTTTCTCACAAGAACACCAGAACTGAGCGTACCCAGAGGTAAAAAAAAATATATAATTTCAAGTTTTTTTTCTCGCCGTATAAGTCGCACCTTTTTGCATAAATTTGGAAGCCTTGTGACTTATACACCGAAGTGACTAATATAAGTCCCGTCCCCCCCCCCATATTTATAATCCAATTATTGGCTGAGATCTGACAATGTCATTCATTCTGACATGGAAAATATGGAACACTACCATTTTTAGCCACTAGAGGGCCCTCGACTAATATGGCAAGCCACCTTCATCTTGCTCCAGAACTCCTGGAGCAAACGCCAAATCAGCTGCATTTCCCTGTACCACCCAGGCAAAATGCAGCGGATTTGACCATAAAAGTGCATTTATTAAGGAAAAGTTACTGAGACAAACCTTTGTTATAATTTTGAGCAAACAAATAATTGTTTTTATCTTGTTAAATTCTTGTTAAAGTCCTCCCGTGCACTCTCCCGCGGCCGCCATTGGTGATGCGTAACAGTTGCGACTTATACGGCGAAGCAACTTATTTATGTTTTTTCCCCCCACTTTATTAGGCATATTTGGACAGATGTGACTTGTAACACGAAAAGTACAGTACTAAAAATATACACAAATGGTTTTAAAACTAGCATCTAATTTCAGAATATTCAATACTCGAAAATTAAATTCATTTAAAGTGATATGATGATGAAACAGGAAACATCTTCTGGGGTTGTCTTTGCCATCGTTAGCTTTTATCTGTACCTGTATCTGTACTGAGGGGGCCTCGAGGGCTCTGTAGACCATGGGAAGCACGCTGTTCTTGATGTCGTCTGCCGGCGTCTTTGTTAGAAGGAGGTCCATCTTTTGCAGAAAAATCAGCAGGATCTGCAACGCACAGACACAAAGTTAGAAAGAAAATTAAAAAGTCGAAAAAGAAAAACAAAACTAAACACAAGCCTGACTTCAACAGAAGTAAGCAGAGGCTTCAGTGAGGTTAGTGTAGATGTTAGTGCCATGACAACACAACACACAATGCTAGCTGATGTGCCTGGAGACAATTCCCCACATAGACCACTTACCATATTACTAGCCTGAAGAGGCATGGAAAGAAAATAGAAAGAAAAAACTTAAAGTGAACCCAAACCAACATGCTCTTTAGTCAGGTTATAATCATCTCAAAACTGTTCTCATAGCAAAACAGGCAGGCGTGCAGAAGTGTAGCGCTCCATACAAGTGGTGTTTCTACCTGGATTGGCTCCTGCTGTTTGAAAACAGGCGTGAGGTCAGGCAGGATGAGGCGGATGTACTCCTCCTTGGTGCAGTCCTCGGCTATCAGCAGCACGTTGGGCAGCACGAAGGGAACCATGTCTGGGTTGACGAACTCAGAGGTCAACGCCGGCAAGATGCGATACACCACGACTCTCTGAGAGGAATAATAAGAAGGAGTTGAGGGATCATTAAAGAGTTTGACTCTAACCTGTTATGAAAGTTTCATGAGGTAGATAATTTTTTTTTTACCTTTGGTAGCTTGGGCAGCACTTTGGGGAGACCTTTGTAGAACTGGGATTTCTGTAAGTTGTCCCTTTGGAAGAGGGTGTCGAAGTACTGCAGGGTGACTGCACCGACGTCATCAAAAAATGGAATCTGAAGTCCAAACAAAAGCACGTTTTGTAATCCCTCAGACAAAAACAACAAAAAGACACAGGATACCCCCCCCCCCCCACACCACCACCACCACCACCACCGCCGCCACATCCTCAAACAAGTAATGACAATAAACCTTCGTCATTTGGTCGGCGTCGGGTCGGACGTTTGATGAGACACTGAGAAGCATCTTGACATGCTCCCGCACTTCTTCGGGGATCTTGTTCAGCAGAGCTGGGCTTATGTTGGTCAACTACAAGTCGATCAAATTTAAAGAAACAAACACACACGAAGAATTTTAAAAGCACATATTGTATAAGAACACACAAAGTTTTGGTCCTGCTGTATAATAAAATATTAAATGTCTGTCCCATCACTCACCTGGTCCAGCTGCCTGCTGAAACTCTTAAAAATGTCATGTTTGTTGACTTGGAAAACAGGTTTGCCTTCATTGAATACAGCGTGCATGACCACACCGAGTGAGTACATGTCGGAGGCAGAGTCGCAGCTGACGGACAGTATGTACTCAGGAGCCAGGTACTCAGGGTTAGGGAGGCACAGAGGAGGAAGGTTAGGTTCCCATTCTTTACACGTGTACTTGGGCTACAAGGAAGGAGAGAAAACTAAAATGTTGAAGGTGTCTGATGATGTTAAAATACACATTAAATCATTGCCTGCCTAGTCAAAGACTCCACAAATACCGTACTTTCCGCCATATAAGTCGCATCACCTGGTGGTGGATGGGTTAAATGCAGAGACTAATTTCGCCATTGTATGGAAACATACAGTGCTGACATTGTGATGACATTATTATTATTATTATTATCAGTCCAAATATGTCTAATAAAGTGGAAAAATCCATAATGTAGTATAAGTCGCATTTATTATGCGTCACCGCTGACAACCTGGAAATGTGGGTCGGTGTTGTGCCAACAATCGATTGGCTGCCAAATGGTTGGAGCGTGCATGGGAAGACTTTAACAAAAATTTAACAAGATTAACACTTAAAACAATTATTTGTTTGCTTGAAATTATAGTAAAAAGTGTCTCTCAGTCTAACTTTTCCTTAATAAATGCACTTTAAGCCGCATTTTACCTGGGCGGCGCAGCGAAATGCAGCTGATTTGACGTTTGCTCCTGGAGTTCTGCAGCGAGACGAAGGTGGCTCACTATGGCAAGCCAAGTGTCTCATTAATAGCCACTTTTACCTATTAATGAGACACTTGGCTTGCCATACAGGTCGAGCATCCTCTAGAGGCTGAACATGGTAGTGTTCAATATTTTCCATGTCAGAATGAATGATATTGTCAGAGCTCAGCCAAAAATCAGGTTATAAATATGAAAATAATAAAATAATAAGTCGCTTCACTGTATAAGTCACAGGTCATGCTAATTTTGCAAAAAAGGTGTGACTTATACAGCAAAAAGTACGGTACCTCAGCATCTGACGGGTTGTTAGAGGAGATGCTGAAGTCAAAGCCCATGATCTTCCAGGCTCCACTCTTGTTGAGGATGATATTCTCTAGACACAAGTTGCCGTGGACCATTTTCACCCCGCTGTGGAGGAAAGACAAACCCTCAGAGATCTGAGGAGACAGAGAAACGTCAGAAGACTTTGGAAGAAACAGATCCAAAAATATATTGTTGACAAACTAAACGCGATCCATCAGGATCAGATGCAATAAAACATTTTATATCAAAGCAATAAGCTAAGACAACCCAACATTATCTGTGAGTGTGACCGAGTTTGACAAATCTATTTTGGAGATGCTTTGAATTCAATTGGGCAACAGGCGTTGGCTCAACCTGCCCAACATGATCCTGCACCATCAAACTGGTATAACCATCACTGATTTACAAGGCTTACATGAGGAACACAAAGAATCACAAGTTTGATAAGCCAAAAAATAAATAAAAAGAGGACTAGAGAAAATAATATCTAACTCCAGCCTGCTGGACAACATTGTAAAAATGGTTTCCAAAAGAAAACCATTTTAAAGCTTATCGAGTCTCTACAAATAAAGACGGCAAATTCCTTAAACCTGCTAAACAACTAGTCTGCAACCAAATAAACCAGGCTGACACTGTAATTAAGACTGTTCTTAATGTCTTGCCTGGTCAAATAAAAGTTAAAAAGTAAAAGATACTACAAGCTGTAAACTATAAGTGCACAGTTAGTTTCAGACTGAAAAGATCCATTTTTGAAGAAATGAGAAAAATACACATTTACGCAGATTTCTTATTTTTTATATGACATTAAAGTGTGAATTGTTTGAAATTTGCTGACTGGACTGAAAAGAAAAGCTATTCTAGTTTTGACCTTTGCACAGATAATTGTGCTTTTTTTTTTTTTTTTTAAATAAGATGACATTTTAAAGAGCAAACAGATATTTACAACAGTAATCAATCAGAAGATCGGACCTTTCCAGTAGCTCAACCAAAATCAAGTGTGTGTGTGTGTGTGTGTGTGTGTGTGTGTGTGTGTGTGTGTGTGCTCACACCTGTAACAAGCCATATTTGGTTTCCACATCATAAAGTTTGTACTCTTTGATGTCATTAGGCACAGGACTGGGCAGGTTGTCCCATTGACCCATCACATTGGACAGACTAGCAAACACTGGCTCCGTGCAAAATGCCAAGCAGTCTCTGAGGGTAGAAAAAACAGACATTTCCTAACTTTTACAATAATGACCTTTTTTAAAAAAAAAAAAAACTGCGTGAACAGAAGAAATAGTATTAGTGAAAAAAAATAAATAAAACGGTGCACTGAATGTTTAAACAAAAATGAAAAGAATATCCGTTATAGAACATTTTCTTCACTTGTGGAAACCCTCTCTTTGGGCTCCGACTCATTTTCGTCCCTTGATAAAAGCGTGTTAAATCACCGGGACTCTTCCAGAGGATGCTGCACGGTCAGGAGACGAGGATGACGCAGTCTGGTCAGCTGCTGCACTCCTCTTTTCAGCGAATCGATAATCTGGTCCTTCTCGAACTTCTGGTATTTGTCCACCATCTTCTTATCAAACACAAACACTGCCACCTCCTAACGAGATGCAGACAAACAACAGGATGCTGAGATTAGTCGTGTGCACTGTAACCTCTTTCACAGCACAAGCTGGGTACTCAAATCAAACAAAATCTTGCATGGCGAGAAGGCAGAGAAGACACGCACCTGTTTGGTGGACTTTTTGCTGCCGTTGTAGATCCTCCAGCACAGCCCAGGCCCTCCACTTGCAATATGTCGCCCAACTTCAAACTCCCTTGTCACTGGGTTACCCATAACAGCGCTGGTGACGTCTGCTGTCACTTTAGTCACAGTGCTTTTTAGCTTGTTTAACATGGACTCCATGGTTAGGCGGGACCTGACAGCTGAGGCAAGACACTGATGATGACCACCAAGGACAGATAAGCAGTTTAAATAAAGCACAGTCAGACAAAAAGAGGAAACGCACTAGTTTTTGCAATCACTCAGCGAGAGAGCTGGAGTCTCTCCCTCGGCACATCGAAAGCCCCATCACAATCTGACATGCACTCTAGTGCACCTGCATAAAAATTTGCACATCAAAGTGCCCACTAGTGTTCTGCTTGGAAAAAAATAAATTACCAATTGTGGAAAAATGGCCCTGGGAATATAACATGACTCACCCACAGCACAATAAGACTCTCTTTAAAAACACTTCAGTGATTTAAGTCAGACAAAAGAACAGAGCTGCTGGTAACGAAACACTTATTTCTCTTTGAGCTGTCTCTTTGGTTCTTTGATTTTAAAGTAAAAGACAAGTCTAACAAGCAATGCTGTTTTACTTTGCTATTCATGTAGATTTTCAGAAACAAAACTTTCTACAGAAACTTGCATGAACCTTTATCAAATTATTTATTATGTCCCTAACCATGAAGAAAAACAAGCAAGAAGCCTCATTTAATAAATACACGACACTGTTACCATCAGTTCCACAAACACTGCTTACCAAAAAGCAGTGTTATTTTTATTTAGGTCTATGAACTTGATTTAGCTAGACCAGGTATTGTGAGAACAAACCATATTCATCTTATGGTGAAACACCTTGTTAGCAAAGTTAACCATCTTGTTTCGTCCGATCTATTATTATGGCCCAATGCTGTGTTTGATTACTTATGCTCTTTCAAACCTTCATTTAAGTGGTGATATATTCAGGCAGCTGACATGACTGTAGAATGGAGGGTTGTTTTTAATTAGAAAAACAGACGATGACAGTCAACCACTCCGGCTAACTAGCCAGCAATGCGCAAACAAACAGCGACGTTAAACCCAGACCGATTAATTTAACTTAAAGCTGTCACTTCAGAAACTTACAGCTACTTACCTTAACACAAAGAAATACTCTCAGTTTTCAGCCTTGTTATTAATTCACCGTCGGCACCACTGCTGTCAGTAAAGGCTGTGAAACTCAGCCCCCATGTTTTCCAATAACAGCGAATTCAGTTAGCTTAGCATGCTAGTGAGACAAGGAACACCACTTCCGGGTTTCACGCATCAGGTGCGTCTACGTCATAGCTTCCTGAATAAATTGGTGTTGTCATATTACCATTATTTTCATATTACAGATTATATACTGCATATTATCATATTACATACAGGTGTTGCCTGAAGGAGATGCAATGCACTACTGTAAGTTTTAATTATTTATGCTGATGTCACAGATTTATTTTTTTATTTTTTTGTCAAAAAACGAAACTCCTGTTCAAATAGCTTACTGAAGAAAAGCTTTTTGGGGGTGTAATTTATAAATATGTGCAGGAAGCTGCTAATTCTTGGGAAATTCAAATGACTTGGGGACCAGAAAGTTGCAGGTTCAACTTCCCACCATGCTCACGTCATGGTGTCCTTGAGCAAGACACCCAACTGCTCCCCAGGCACTTACATAGCTGCCCCCTGCTTCACCTGGGTGCATCTCATGTCAAACGCAGAGCACAAATGTCATTGTATAGAAACATACAGTGACAACACATAGCTGCATTTTATGAGAGGTTCATGTTGGTCTATGTATAACTAATAATGATAATAAACAAAAAATGCATGTCAAAAACTTAAAGTATTTGTTTGACAGAACTTTTATTTGCATTTCAGCATCATAAAGTGCATTTAACCCGATTTTAGTGTTTGCAATCAACAAAAGTTGCAGATACTTGAATAGATAACAAATTATTTGTGTACAGTATAACATAAAAACTTCATAAAAACAAACAAGTCTAAATGTGGTGTTGCGTTTGTCGCAACACAAATTCAATTTGTAGCCTAAAAAAAACACCAAGACATAACACTTGTTAGGTTTTCATTCAAGTCACAAAGTCTACATTTCAAGTACATTTAAAATATTTTAATTTACTGGCACAAAATGCATTGAAAACATTTAAATACCATGTCCTGAGCTGTGGTCAACCAAACACTCTAATGTACCACTTCACTTCTTATGAATCTATTGGATAAATCTTCCAAAAGATGTGATTTATACAACAAACTTCAGTGTTTAAGTTTTTAACCAGTGTTTTTTTCCTAGAACGCAGAATGGCACCAAAATAAATCAGCTAAATAAACTGTTATTCCTCACTTGATACACAGGAATAATAACACCTCATCAGTGTATTAATAAAAATGAACTATAATAATTATGAAATAAAACAATCCAAATATAGCATTTCCATTTTAAAGGAAAATATTGATTATACATATAGATTTTGTACCAAAAATAAGCTTTTAATTTTGAATAACAGGATTTTTAAATCAAACCCGAAGGGAATTTGATCATTTGTGGCAAAAATTATTTCACTAGTGCAAACTATATATATTTTTTACATTTTTAGCTCCAAATTCCTATCTAAAATGTATCTATAGCTGCTAGGTCCAAATTTACAAATAAAATTAGTATTTTTTTTTTCATTCCTATTCTGTATACTAAACATTAGTTGTGTGAAGGTATTTAAATTATTGCTAGATACTTTCCTCTCTCTCTCTGGAGCTGTTCACTGAATTTGAAACAATTTAGCAAAGCCAGTACCGGTTCTAGAATGTGCTGGAAAAATGCTGAAGGAACACGACAGGGTGATGTTTTTCAAACTCTTTAAGTAGCTTCCTCCTCTGTTTGACAGGCATGTTTTTGTTGGATGAAATGTCACGAAGGAGCAGGCGGAGGCTCTCCAAGGTGGCAGCATCTCGCTGATCTTCGTACTCCTGTAGGGTCACCTGCTGGCAGAAGGTGAAGGCTGCAACACAGAAGGAAAATAATTGATTTGATTTAAACTCTGGTGGATCAACACACACAAAAAAAGCGAATTAGATTTTAATCTTGTATGAATTTGGAGTAACAGTGCCTCCAAGTGGGTAAAACACTTCACGCAGTCATACAATGGTTCAGTGGTTCCCAACCCTGGTCCCTGAGGAACACCATCCTGCATGTTTTAGTTGTTCCTCTGCTCCATCATGTCTGATTTGAATGAAAGGTGATTACCAGGCTTCTGCCGAACATAAGGAAGTAATTAAACCACAGAATCAGGTGTGTTGGAGCAGAGAAACAACTAAAATATGCAGGTGTTCCTCAAGGACCAGGGTTGGGAACCACTGCGAAAAGCTGGACTGTTTTAAAGAGCTTTTGTAAATTAAACTGAATTTAACCTGGGATCAGTTCAGATGTTTAGAAACATTATTAAAGACATAAGAACACTTACTGAATTATTATGTGTGAATTTGGGCTATTTGGTGTAAAATGGAGTGCAACTATTATCCAAGTTGTTTTTAACTTACAAGCAACAGAGTCTGGGTCTTTTCCCTGCTGCAGAGTCCTCAATGTTTTTCTCACAGCTTCAACAAGAGTTGTAGGAGTCTATCATCATGGCAAAAAGAGAAAAAAAGAAACGGTTAAAACAGTAAAGCAGGTTCATTTTACATCTAAAGTGTGCAGTAATGACAGAAGTGCACCTTGAAGAGCTCAATGTAATTGTCCATGAGGAAGAGTACCAGCGTTTCACTCTGTGATCGAGTGAGCTCAGGATTCTGAATGAGAGCTCTCTGAAATGTGCGACAGACCAAGGTCCTATTATCAGTCTGAAAGAAAAACACATTGAAATGTCATTTTACCATAACAACTGGTCCAACTTTAAGAGTGAGTTTTGTCCAGTTTCTTTTTACATTTATGAATAAAATAAAGGGAAATGTTTCCCACTTTTGTTTCGATTTTTATGAACGTACAAAAAGCTGAAACAGAGTGAGGAATACATTCTACCTGCTTTTGGAGTCGGCAGGTGTCTGACCGAGCTGCTGAGGCCATGAAGGCCAGCAGTCTCCGCAATTCATCTCTCATACTCGTCTCCAGCAGCCGCAAACAGAGCTGAGATGCTCGAATGACATCCTGCGTTTTCCCTTTTTCTAAAAAACAAACAAAAAAACAAGATATCTGATGTTAATGTTTTGTCATCAACTATGAAGGACAGTTTAATCCACCAAGCTTTACCCAGTAAATTCAGACATGCAACATGCACATCCAGGTAGCGTCCTGGTATAAGTGGAGACCTTTCCTGTCCACTGTAGTATTTGCCAATAGTGTCAAAGAGAAGCCTCTTCTGGGTAGCCATCTGCTCCGCATTGTCACTGCCATTCCGTTGGCTGAGCTGCTCCCCTGCGACCATAATCAACTGGTCTGGAAACAGCTCCAAGCAGTCTGCAGCTGCTGACAGCCATCCATCTAACCTGAGGAGGGAAAGCAGTGACATAGAACAAAAAAAAAAGAAATTTTATTGTTAATGCTTGCATGATGGAGCATAAATGGACAAACATACAGAATTCAACTCCTGTGATTTATTTCCTTCCGTACTTTATCAAAATCAGATTCTACCTAAAGGATTCAGTGTTTTAAAGGGTACTGACTGGAGTAGGTTGAGTGCATCAGGTAGCTCTCTTTCCAGGCATGTGTTCGGGATAACCAAGTCAATGTTGGCCAGAGAACCTCTGCAGGATTGAGGGTGAACTCTTTCAGGAGAGGTGAGTACGCAGTCCAAAACTGGTAACTCTATGATCTGCAGCAGCTGCAATAAAGTCTGCTGCTTCCAAACTTCATTCACCACTAAAAAAAATGAGGCAACAGAAAGAAGAAAAATGTTGCAATAATGTCTGCACAGAGTTCAAACCTACCGACGATTTCTGAAAGATTGGTTTCTCACCAGCTTTAGACAGGAAGCTGGAGGCTGAGGTCGCTGTGCTCTGAGCAGGAAAAAAAGATGTTTGCAGGTTGATAGTCCTCAGAAGCCGTTCAACCCTCCTGTCTGATGATCCAACAGCAAGTGGATTGGAGATTGTCCTTATTTCATTCGTCCTTCACAAAAAAATAAATATGGTTTACAGAGAATTTATTAGTATTTCCTTGTGTAAAAAAAATACTGTTCAATGCCACATCTCAGTTGCATTTATTCAATACATTTAGATCTCTGCAGTTATGTATAAATGTTTAGCTATGATGATCATCATCAGGAATAACTCATACACCACCTATGTTTGCTGTATTTTGCTCCATGAATTTATGAAGAAATAAACATTGATTAAGTAAGATTACTTAAGCATCAACATACCGATATATTTTATTTCATTCATTCAACCTTTATTCATACAGATTAGTCTCATTGAGCCACAAGGACTCATTTACAATATTAAGGTCAAATGAATTATTTCAAACCAACCTGGAGCTTTTTTTTCTTTTAGTCTGAAGACTATCGGGCCGCATGTTTTCTGTGCCAATGCTGTCCACGTTCATGTCTTTCATTCCTTCGCGTTCCAGGAAGCGGTAAAGGCTGCCGCTGTTATCCTCAAATGTGACCTCCTTGTCCTTGCGAAACAGCTTCGTGCCCACCGGCTCGAACACCTTGGCTTCCATCAGAGCCTGGCAGAGTCGAGCGGCTTTGAGGCGGGACACTTCGCTTGTGCAAAACACCACGTTCTGCATCAAATAACTGAGAACTGCATCTACAGCGTCCGAGCCCGTGAAACAGTCGGCGTGAACACGGAGGTGCCTCCTACAGCGGCGCACCTCCACCTGGGTCTGCAGGGCCTTGATGATGTTGTGCCACAGCTGGGTGGCTCCAAAAGGCCTGGAGAAATCTATTGGAAAGCAGAAAAAATACTTAAATTAGACTGAATCTAAGAACTACGATGCCAGTATAGAATACATATAAGTTGGGGGGTACTTTGTCCAGTGGGTAAACAATCTACAGAAGATCAAAAACAAGTAGCAAATTTGACATTTTAGGTTTTACAAAGATTTAAAAAAATTCGAAACAATTATTAAATTTTAATGATTTTTTAATGCTATTTAATTACATCTATTTATGAGTGCTGTCCTGTTGCTCAGATGTTTATTACAAGTTTACAAGTTCATTTGAAACTGTTACTTTAACATGGATCGTCTGTGAGATCCTAGTGGTATTAAAAAATAGGTAACACATTTATAAAATGAAATATCTACGTAAAACCTTACCATGCTGACTATTTACACGAAAACTTCTCGTTTGACTGTTTAACCTTCTAAACCGAGGAGTCAAATTGACCGCCATAACAAGCCGTCTTCTTCGCCTTTAAATAAAACGTAGCAAGTCGTGCTTTGGTTCACAATGCTGCCCTCATCAGGCAGCGGTTTGAACTGCAAGTACACTTCTGAGGTCACATCCGTAAACAAAACCGTCCTCCGCGAGCATGGATTTAGACCGTACCATTACGACAAATATATGAATTACAGTATACTATAGTAATTCTTAAATTAATCATGATTTTTAAGTTTTTACATCTGTTTTGAATTTTAGACTTATATTTTACTTTAAAAATCCTAGTATTCGCTTTTTTGGGCAGTATTATACACCCCTATGTGTGAAATGGTTTAGTCTGTTTGTCCTTTTAAAGCCAGAAATGGAGTATCAACAGAGCTAAAACGGGACGATTTTAAAGCGAACAATTACATGTATCTCTTTCCGGAAACTTTAATGAGGTAAAAACCAATTTGTGTTACGAACATTTGAAAGTTTGTGTGCTTGAGATGAATCTAGGTCGCGTTCTTGTCTGTAACTCCGACGTTACCGTCGAATGCCACTTTGCGTTTGTTGTGGAGCGGAAATAGAAGCAGGTTCTAACTGACAGTGGATATGTCAACGATAAATTTCTAATATAAACGATCATTTAATGTAAACGATCAGTGTTGAGTTTGACATTTCGCATTATTAACGTTTCTATCCAAGGAAGTAGTGTACTTCGTTTTTGTTCGTGTTGCATGTTTAAACCGTATTTACTATTTTATGTGTTCATAGTAGTCTTCATATTTTAGTCCGTAGCTGGAATCATGTGTACCCACTTATCCGTGTGCAGATGTTTTTTTTTTTTGTTTGTTTGTTTGTTTTGTCTGCAAAACTATGCAACCAAAGGTTTTCCATGGCGTGGTGAGTGACGGGCGTCAGCAGCCAATGAGGAGAGTCCTTGTGCAGAAAGCCCCGCCTTTCTGATCCTGGGCTTTGTTTACATTATACTGCAGTAAAATCTGGATCCTTAGGAGTTGTCTTTGTTTGTGCATGAATTATATAGTAAGTAACTGAGTATCAAGGGTCTGACAAATACATTTTGATCTATTAAGCATGTTCATAAAAAGTAAAAGTTTAGGTTTTTCTCTGTTTTGTTGTAAATACATAAATGAATCCCACATTAAAGCAGGAGTTGACTGCCAACACTTTAATCCCTAATTATTTGTTCTTAAATCCACTGCCTTGGTCCGTCCAGATTATCTCTGAATATTGGCCTACTGTTTCGTTTGGACCCGGCTTTGATCGTCTCTCCTTGAGCTATCTTTGAACTGCAAGAGCTGACTCTACTCATTTTTGGTTGCAGATAACTGGGACCAGGAACACCCAAGGGTCGCCATATGTTTTAGATAATACTAGAACAGGCTAAATCTGCTTTATATGTAGATGTTACAGTAAATAGAGGTTTGAATAAGTGTAATTTAAAATATCAGCATGAAAATGTTATGCTAAAATATATTTGTAGACGAGAACACATGGAGTCAGGTGTAACATGATCTCTAGGACGGTTAAGAAGACCTCTGTTGTCCTTTGTAGCCCTGGAGACTCCGTTTCCCCTTTTTATGCTCAGTCTTTTGTTCAGACCTCTGTTAACGCTGACGCACTGTCTAGACCTGTAAACATAAACTAATCAAGTTGTTTCAGAATGCTTTCTTTCATGCCGTTTGTGTGAAATTGATAAGATGTTGAAACTATGCAATAGATCTGTTTCCATGGTGACTGGTCTGCCAGCTGTTGAGCGCGAGTGATGGGTTTTTGTTGTTGTTGTGCACCCACCCATAGCAACAAAGGATACATTCTCAAGTTTTATCAACTCTCAGCAGTCGCTTATTATTGTTGCAGGTTCTGTTGGAAATTACTAAAACAACTTTATTGTTTTTTTCTTCTAAATTTCCTTGTAGATCGGCCAGTGTCACTGGATTTGGACTCTGAACACACTTTCTATTGATATCTCTTGTGAGAAGCTTTGACCCAAGATGCCTCGAAATGATGAGCGACCCTCCACGTCCAGCGGCGAGGACCAAGGCAGCGACGCAGAATCGTTGTCAGAATGCAGCGCAGGCATGGCCGCGGCCAGTGACCTCGACTCTTCGCGTGACAGCTTTAACAGTGACTGCTCCAGCAAGCACTGCACTCCGTCCTGTGAGTTTTCGTTCTTTCTCTTTCTCTGTACCTTACAGTTGTTATCAGGCAGCTTTGATAATCAGATGTTTGTTCCATGTTTGCCCCTCACAGCAAGCCCTCCAAGAGTCTTGAACCTAGATGAAGTCATGGAGGCCGGAAGAGACTTGTTCAATCTCAAACTCTCCCATGAGATTGTGCTGAATAAGGATTTTCACATGGAGCCAAATCTAAAACCACCAAACAGGTATTTACCAACACATTCTTAGAACTGTGTGTGTAAAGGTCTGGGGGTCTTTAGTTGCAAATATTGGAACAAAACATTTGAAACTTGGTTAATGCCTAATGGGGAACATGGCTGAAGTTCACTGGGGATACCTGCTCCATATTTTAGTTAAAAATCACGATTACCATATTTATCAGATTATAAGGCTCACTGTCGATTTTTGAGAAAATTAAAGGATTTTGAGTGCACCTTGTAGTCCAAAACGTACTGTATATAAAATATAATGTATTTTTAATGAGTACAGATATGATATAAATTATATTATAAGTATGTAATAGTGCTTGTAGTTTATGATTTATGAGTTTCAGGTACTACCACACCAAATTTTAGCGCACGATCTGTAAAAGTGACTTTTAGCTAACGATTGCACTCACCCTCAGACACGGACAAAACCCTCGGCTTTCCCAGTACGTGATGGGGGCGGTAACAGAACTATTTCCTTATGTTAGCTTAAATATAACAGGAAAAAATTATATTTTAAAAAGCAGTTTTCTGGCATATTCTACTACCTTTTTTTTTTTTTTGTCAGTTTATTAAATGCAGTGAAAGAAGTTGTCCACAAAGCCTTCTGGGACATCCTGGAGTCCGAACTGAACAAAGACCCACCTGAATATCAACATGCCATCAAGTTACTGGAGGAGATCAGAGAGGTTAGTGCACAGTGCACAAAACATCGTGTTATGATCTATTTCACATTCTTACCAGCTTTTACAACTCATCACCTTCTCTGTGTGGCGTTCACCTCAAAGTAGCAAAATGGTAACTTTAAAAATTGAAAGTATCATATGTGGACAAAAATTAAGCTTGCACGTTGGAGCAGATTTTAAATGGAAACAAATATTTAAAAATAAATTTGAAGACCTCATGTCTTCAAGTATTTTTTTTTGTCTTCTTCCTTGAACAGATATTGCTCTCATTTCTTAATCCTGGTGCCAATCGGATGCGGACCCAGATTATGGAGGTGCTGGACATGGACCTGATACGTCAGCAGGCAGACAACGACGCTGTAGACATCCCAGGACTCACCTCGTACATCATCACCACCATGGGCAAGCTGTGTGCCCCAATGAGGGACGAAGAAATAAAGAAGCTACGAGAATTAAACGTGGATAATATAGTGACGCTCTTTAGGTAAAGTCCTTTGGTTTTGAGCATTTTAACATCCATAAGTTTTATCAGATTGAGAGGATACATAAACTTTGATTATATTTTGTATTGTTTTGTAGTATTTGTTGCTGCTTTGTAATGTTTGATTATTGTGTGAATGCTTCCATTTTTCTTCTGTATGTTTGTCGGCATGTTTCTGGTCCCACAGCTTTTCAAGCTATTTCGACAAAACGTATATCAAAACGTTCAGCTCTTTCAGGACAATCCTGCTATGGCTTTTGGTATTAATGCAACTTTAGCTTTTTGAAATATTTAGCTTTTTCTGCCACTTTATTTATCTTATAAAATGAATTGAGCTCATTTTACATCCTTCAAATCTTTAGCTCTGTTTCAACCTTTTACTGCTCCTTTCGCATTTTGTTCTGCTTCAGCTTCTTTCAGCTTCTTGGTACAAAGTTAAACATGTTTTCAGCTACTTTCAGCTAATTTCAGCTGTTGTTTTCATCTGTTTAGTGCTCCTTTCAGATCCTTTCTAACTACAACATTTTTGAGCTTCTTCTAACGTCTTTCTGCTAATTTCAGCTTGTTATACACCTTTTAGCCTATTTCTGCAATTTTCAGCTTTTTTTAAAAACTATTTCAACTACTATAGCTATTTTTATGTTAATTTTAGCTTTTTCCACTAATTCCGTTTTTTTATACTCGTTTAAACTTTTTCAGCCTAATTCAGCAAAAATATGCTCTCTCCAGTTCCTCCTTGTAATTTAAGATTTTTTCTGCTTTTTTAGCTACTTTTCAGCTGGTTTTTGTTTGGTGTTGTTGCTAATTTCAGCTTTATTCAGATAATTTATACTTTTTTGCTCATTTCTGCGTCTTTCAGTCTAAATGGGCAAACATGCTCTTTCTGCTTTCTTGTACTCAAAGCTTGTTTTACCTTTGCAGCTACTTTTTAGAAAATCTTTAGCTAATTTAAGCTGTTTTCAGATAAAGTCACATTTTTCTTGGTCATTCCTGCTACTTTCAGCCTAATTAACTTCTTTCTGCTAATGTCAGTTTGTCATGCTCTTTTCAACTTTTTTCAGGTAGTTTTGGCGTTTTCTACTATTTCAGCTACTATTTAGCTGATTTTATGCAATTTTTTTGCTTTTTCAGCTTTTTCCACTTTTCTAAAGCTCATTTAAGCTCTTTCCACGTCCTTCTCGTAGGTTAAGCTTCTTTCTGCCTTTTCAGCAACTTTTAATGTTTTTTGCTATTTGTAGCTTTTAAAAAAAAAAACTGATTTCCCAATTTTTTTGCTCATTTCTGCTTATTTTAACCTAATTAAGCAAATATGTGTACTTTATGCGTTCTTCTAATCTAGGCTTCTTATGTTTCACATGTTTCAGCATGTTTTTAAGCTAATTTCAGCTGTTTTTCAGCAAGTTCTTCTGCGATAAGAATTCACACTGCTTTTTCGCAGAAAATACAATTTCTGTAGTTATTATTACCTTATTGTTTATATATATTAATTTTTTATTTTTTGTAAATAAAGGGAGATCTTTCGTGTTCTGGACCTGATGAGGGTCGACCTTGTCAACAATACGATCAGAGACATCCAGCCTGTGCTGCAGAGGATCAGTGTTGAATATGAGAGGGAAAAGTTTCAAAATGTCTTGGACAAAACACCCAGTAAGTTTAAAAACATTAATAAAGTTTTTGTAACTGCTAGAATGCATGGTGGGGAAATTAAATGTTATGTTAGAATATATAATGTAGCACACAATCTATTGTTTCCAAGTTAAGCTGATAAAAAAATTTACTTTTTTCAGATGCCTTAAGCAAAACCACCTCCTGGCTCCAGTCAGCAATAGAAGAACTGCTTTCAGCCACCGTCGCCACGGAAAAATCCAACAACCCGAAGAAAAGACGTGGAGCCATGCCTGGGCCCTTCCAGATACTCAGTGCTGCTTTCCTTCATATTCTCATGTGGGATTTCTCAAATAGCCCAGTGCCGGAGGTAGTGTGAAAAAACGGGGTAATATAAATAAACAAATGTAAAATTACACACTTGCATAAGGAAATATATTAATGTCTACCTTCGCCTTGCTACAACAGCAAAATTTAGAGATTGAAGGTCTTTTTGTTCCACATTAGACTTGGGTGACGGATGAGACCCGACTACAGGAGATTCAATGGCAGCTCAAGCAGTGCGAGGCGGTGAACGAGGTGCTGCTCATTGTGTACAGCACTGTTGGCGAGCCGGTCCAGGGGCTTTCATCCCTGTCGGACCGCTTGAAGAGGATGATCAGTGTGCTGCTGGACGGGATGCACAGACAGTCAGTTCACCTTTTTATTCTATACCTCTTCCTCAAATTTATCACCGTGCGTCACAGGCTCTCTGTGACCTTATTTTTATAAATATCTGTTTTGTGTTTCTCTCCTTTCACAGAGACTTTAACCTACGAGAAGCACTAGAGGGCGTCAGTGCTCAGCTTTGCTGCGAGCTCAACAAGTCTTTGATCGAAAGGAAGTACCCTGCACTGACCCCAGAGCTGCAGGCCACACTGACAGGACAAATCTGCAGCATCAGCCAGAAGAATAATCCAATTCGCACTTTAGTTGGTAAGATGTAAAAAAAACTGATGAGGTGCAGATGTGTCCTCTTTACTCCTTAAATAGAGATAAAATAGTATACATTAGTTCCTCGTTTATTGTGGGAGTTACGTTCCGGACTCCCCTGCAATAAGTGAAAATCTGCCTAGTAGGGACGTCATATTTATTTTAGTGTTTTTATACATTTTAAGCCTTTATAAACCCCTCCCACACTCTTGCAATGTTCTAAGCTCTTAAACCTACTAATTTTAACAACATGCGTTTATGTAGCTACTAAATTTTACTCACCAGCTCTGCAGAACAGCAGCTTGGTTCCAGTCCGACTCGGTTCCATTTCGGCAGACCTACTCTGCCGGTTCTGGTCAACTTCGGGTAGTTCCAGTGGGCTCCAGAGAGAACGCCGGATCTCTGGATGGCGCCTTCCCGCGCAGAAAGCCTTGTGGGCCGGCGGGCACCACTCAGATTCACCTATGAGTCTGGAGGTCCGGTTCTGGTTTGGTTCGGTTCCATGCGGCTCTCTGCATCCGCTAGGCGCCAAAGTAACTGTACGAATAAGGATTGAACTTTTCGGATTGGTTCCAAACTTTACCTCCGTTTCAGCAGAAGTCAATGGGGCTTCTGGGCATGGCACTGTTGGCTTCTGGGAAATGTAGTCCTCATGAGTGGCGATACAGTATAGGCTTATTGAGAGAAAACTACAAAATTGCGTCGCCTGTCCCCAAGTATTTTTTTTTCGTTAACTTTTTACTCTATCCCATACTGTCCCAGTCACTTGAGTAATATTAAAGTTGACAATTATGTGTCGTGTACAGTTTTAATTTTTTCCTCGTGAAAAACCGCCAAAGAGCGAGTCCATGAAAGTTGAACCGCAAAGTAGTTTGAAGTTGTTTGAACAGGTGTGCGTGCACCACATAGTTCTTTAGTTCTGGGTTATTTATCACTGCTTGTTTCAATGGATCGAACTGGTCTTGTCTTTTCTACTACCTTCCCCTGCAGAGGATCGTGTGCAGCAGTACTTCATGGGGGTCCTCTCTGACCCCAAACCCCAGGTCAAACTTGAAGAGGTGCCTGTCGGTTTGGCCGCTGTCAAGCCTGAGCTCACTCTGATCGGGAAGAACTTCATCTCCCTTGTCAACTACAACAGGGCTGTTTATGGACCTTTTTACGCCAATATCATCAGGAAGCTGCTGTTCAGCAACGACCCACCACCTGCAAACCTCCCACAGGACCCAGCCCAGGACTCCGTCTCTCGTGAATAAAAAACAAACAAAAAAAACTATGCAGTTGAAGAGGATTATTTTTCTGTTGAGAAAGTAAAGTCTAAATCTGTGGAGATAGCTCTTAGGCCAACTAAACAAAGCTAAAATCTAAAAGAAAACTCAAAAGTTTAACTAAAGTAGTGTTTTAAGAGTTTTAAAAAGTAAAAAAGAGGCATTCTAGGAAGTCCACAATAGTGTTTCATCCTTATTCCTTACAGTGCTTATGTATACATCATATAATCACCGTTTACTTTGACCTGCATCCTTTATAAGTACTTAAGGTGTGTTTCCCTCATAATGTTCCCCGTTTCATAAAGGATAAAAACGATGTTTGTTACATTTCTATTTAGACTCTCTTAAAAGCAATAATACAAAATAATAAAACATTAGTATTTCAGTCGTACGACCAGCTTGATAAAATAATTTAAAAGATGCTGATATTTTTAGAAGAGTATCATTTCATACTCCTTCACTCGTTAATATTTCTACAGACTTTAATATCAAGAGTTGATTCAAGTTGTGTACAGTAAGTGCCATTTTTACAAATAGTAATGGAAAATATGAGAGGGCTCTTTATCGATATTGTTTGTTCTTTGCTTGCGGACTCTACAATGAGCTAGAATGCTAAATGTTCTGTTTTTGTTTTTATGCTGTTTTTATTTAACTTGTTGAAAAGAGACATGCCACTTGTTTGCATGAGCTTTGTGTTGGCGTTTATTTGATTGCTGTTCCTAAATTAGTTGTTTCTTTTTATGTATTTGTCCTGGACATCATAGTATCTACCAGTGGAGTGCTTGTTAAACTAGTTATGTTACTATGTTACAAAGTACTGTAGTTTTATTTCTTAAACAGTACGGCTGCATTTGCTGTTAAAACAAAAGGTGCTGAATTTTATTAAAGTGGATATTGGATTCAGTGTTTCCAGTGGACCTTGAATTGCACAAAAAAGCAATTGCATACTTTTACAAAAGTTTTCATTAAAACGAATAACTGCGTTTATTTTTCTTCTGTACCACAGTTAATATAATAAATTGTCTAATGAGTGTGGATTCATCTTAAATACTTGCGTTTAAGTAGGATTGAGAAAGTCTGAAAATTAAACAAAGTTGCATTAAATATTAATGCAGCAAACTTTGTAACAGAACATGTAAACTCAATAAAAAAAACAGTATTTTACGACAAATGGATCTTTTTAAAACAACATAAAGTTTAAAAGATTTACTAAAAAGCAGTTTCAGGTGTTGGTAATTTATCATAAATATGTGCAAAATTCAATCCTACACTATGTTTTAACAAGATGCTGTGGCTGTTTGGATGAGCTAAACTTGATTATATTTAGAAAATACTGAGAGGTTATTGTAATGTGATAAATGAAATAAAATAATCAAATATGAAAAATAAACCGTATTAAATGACTACATGAGTAGACATCCTGTAAATATAATCCCTTTGAATAAAAATGTTATATGGGGAAGTTCCACTCAAACAGCACCTGAAAGAGTCTCTGAAACCTGGCTCAACAAATCTGTACTCAATGACCTGGCGATCAATGGATTTAGCATCTACCGCTGTGATCGTCAAAAGGGGGGGGAGGGGGGAGTCGCTGTTTACATCAGAGATTCTTTGGTTGCTAGTCCTGTGTCTTCTAACAATTCCAAACCAGTTTGAAGCCTTAGCTGTAAGCATCACCTTGCATGGTGGCCAGATCTTATCTGAAGTCTGTTGTTACCGCCCACCCTCAGCATCACCAGAGGCTCTGATGGAATTTCTTGGTAATTTAAAATTCAAAGAGATCCTTTTGGCTGGAGACCTCAACATTGATTGGTGTAAGTCGACCCGCCTCTGTGATAAATTCAAGGAATGTTGCCTGTCTCTCAATCTTACCCAACTGATCAACTCTCCCACTAGATTAAACAAAAACCGTCCTGAAAAATCCTCCATCTTAGACCTGTTTCTAACTAATATGCCTCACAAATTCCCTGGTACAGGTGTATTTGCCAATATCTTGAGTGATCATTGTGTGACAGCAGCTTTGAGAGATATTAAACTTCCACCTTCTAAGCCCAGATTAATTCAAAAAAGGGATCTGAAACATTTTTGTGAACAGTCATTCCTCTGGGATCTGTCTCACTTTGACTGGCATCGTATTCTGTTAACTGATGACGTGAACTCTGCTTGGAACTATTTTCATAATAGTTTCATTTATTTTGTGAACAAACATGCTCCTTTTCGTCAGTTCAGAATAAAGGGACGAGACAGCCCCTGGTTTACTCCAGAGCTAGCTGACCTCCTGCACAGGAGAGACCATCTTTGGGCTGCAGCGAGAAAATCTGACTCAGACACTGATTGGTTGAGTTTTCGACAGATGAGGAATAAATGCACAACTGCCATCAAAGCAGCAAAACACAACTATTTCTTATCTCAGACCTCCAAAAATCTAAATGACCCTAACAGATTCTGGAAAACTATCAAATCTCTCTCAGGCAGCCCCCAATCATCTGACCTCCCATCACAACTTCTCATTAACTCTGTTCCTGTGTCAAATAAGCACGAGATCCTGAACTGTTTCAACAAACATTTTGTTGCTTCTAGTTCTTTATTTGACACAGTTACTAATGGAAAATCAGCCACTTCACTTAATAACCAAACTTCTACAAATCAAATCCCTCCTACAAGTCAATCCTCAGTTAATCACAGCTTCTCTTTTTCTCCATTCTCAGTCAGTGAGGTCAATAAACTGTTAAAAGATCTTGACCCTAAAAAATCTGCAGGTTCAGATGAACTTCCACCTTATTTCTTAAGGCTGGCTGCTCATATCATCACAGTCCCTGTGACCCCCATCTTCAATCTCTCCATAAAACAAAACTCCATCCCAGACACTTGGAAAACAGCCTTTGCTCTTCCTTTGCTGAAGGGAGGTGACCCCACCTCACTGAACAACTATTGACCAATCTCTAAACTCTGCATTTTAGTCAAGGTTCTAGAAAAACTGATAAACTCTCAAATCAAAAATTACCTGGACTCATTTAATATCTTACCTCCACATCAATCTGGTTTCAGGAAACAACACAGCACAACCACTGCTTCACTGAAGGTTCTTAATGACGTTGTTGAAGCACTGGATGCTAAGGATTATTGTGCTACACTTTTCTTAGACCTGTCTAAAGCTTTTGACACTGTGGATCATAACATCTTGTGTCATAAACTCTCAGAAATTGGTTTCTCAGAACACACCATTGCTTGGTTCTCTAATTATGTTTCAGACTGGAAGCATTGTGTTCAACATAATGGTACTTCCTCCAGTTATTTAACAGTCAACAATGGTGTGCCACAAGGCTCAGTCTTAGGACCCACCCTCTTTACAATCTACATACATAATGTAGGCAAAAACATCCCTAATGCATCCATACATTTCTATGCTGATGACACAGTTGTTTATTGTCGAGCTAAAACTATTGCTAAGGCTTTCCAGCTTTTGAAATCTGCATTCAACTACATCCAGACAGATTTGTTCCGCCTCAAACTTGTCCTAAATGCCGACAAAACCAAAGGGATGCTTTTTTCAAATAGGAAGTTGGTCCCAGCAGTTCTTCCTCCGATTTTATCCTCAAATGGTGTCCCCATTGAGTTTGTTGATTCCTATAAATATCTGGGTATCTTGGTCGACTCACATGTCTCTTTTAAGCTCCATGTGGAAAACTTGGTAAAGAAACTGAAAGTTAAACTGGGTTTCTTTTTCAGAAACAGATCCTGTCTAACCCTGAATGCTAGAAAACGCCTTGTATCTGTGACTTTCCTTCCCTCCATTGATTACGGTGATATTATTTACATGAACTCTCCTACAAGAACCCTGCAGATGTTGGATGCTGTCTATCATGGTGCACAAAGATTCATAACTGGCTGTGATTATCGTACCCACCACTGCACCCTGTATTCACTGGTTAACTGGACATCATTAACTTCGCGCAGACTCTTTCACTTCTACATTTTCATCTTTAAGTCACTTCTTGGTCTGCTGCCTTTGTACATCTCCTCCTACATGTCTCTGTGTGAGTGCAGCTACGGAGTGCGCTCTCAGGACATTATTACCTGCAGTGTTCTCTCAGTGAGGACTGAACTAGGCAAAAGGGCCTTCTCCTACTCCGCTCCTGTTTCCTGGAATTTCTTACAAAATATTTGAAGCTCTCGACCTTGACCTCTCTAAGTGACTTTAAGAATCTGTTGGACTCCTGGCAGGGACCTATGCAGACATGTTCCTGTTTTTAGTTTTCTACATTCGCCTTAGAATCTAGCTGTTTTTTTTTTTTTTTTTGTTACCTTTTTCTTTTAGCCATCCTATTTGTAAAAAAAAAAAAAAAAAAAAAAAAAACCTGCAGTATGACTTTTTATAATTGTTTATTGTTGTTGCTGTTGTCCATTGTTGTCATCTTTCTTTGTTGAAATCAGGTCTCTCTTGTAAATGAGTCCTCGAGGCTCAATGGGATTACCTGTCTAAATAAAGGTTGAATGAATTAAGGTCAGGAGCTTGGAAACTCCAAGCAGTTCACAAAATGGCTGACATTTGTATGTAATATAATTAATAAATTACAATTTTTTTAAAATAAAATTTGTTGCCTTCTTTATTATAAGGGTTTCAGAAAACCAAACATTTTGGCGGATAACACTACATCAGCAAAATAAAAAATCATTTCACTAAACGAATTTAAGAAAAACGACAGTGACAGGGTCTTTGAATGCAGCATCAGTTTGCCCAGCTACAGATTCGTCAAACACATGAGGTCATTAGTCACGTGTTTAAATACCGTCTTGTGATTGGCTGTATAAAACCGGAGTCGTTGTTTTTGTTGTGTGTCAGGAAGCAAATTGGGCGTGTAATATCGCTTCAACTGAAAATTAATACAGTACTCTTGGCATTTCATTGGAGTCTTTAAGAGTTATTTTACCTTGGAAGCGTACACGTCAACAAACAGCGTTCTTACAAATCAAGAAAGGACACCCGTAAGTAGTTCTCCCGGACTTTCTTTGTTTCTTTTAAGTCGGAGTGGGTGAATTTGTCTTAACACCTGAGACATATACGAAGCACTAAACTGTAGGTTTATCTCTGATATGCCGTCTTTAAATTAATATTTCGTTTCTAGACAAGGGTAAGTGAATTTAGCCTGGTTATTAGGTACTGGAAGAGATTAAAGTATAAAAATAAATTGACCAGCTGATAAAAGTTGTACATTTAGTTTTGCTATGAGTTCCTGCTCCTGGACCTATTTTTATGATGACCCATGTTTAAACTGTGCCCTCATAAAATTGTTTGTTAGGGGTTGTTTATGAATTAGGCAAACATCAGCTGTTTTCATCCATATAACTATAAGCTTTATACTGTTGTTTAATGGGAAAAGTCCCACAAACCTTGTTGCTAAAATGTTTTTGGCTCCATTATGACTCAAGTCTACAAATCAGAGCATATGGATTGAGTGGTGTGGCTTACACCATTGCCCAAGCTGAAATTAAATATACATTTATTTAACCCAAATTTAGACAGTGGCACATCAAATTTTATAACATAAATATAGTAAACTAGGCCTAGTCTGAGTCTTGGCTGGTGCAAAACATACCCAAAGTCTGACAACCATGGCATCAGAAGTGGGCCATTGTCAAAATACACTGGTGTGTCAACACTCAACGCCTCAGATGACTTTCTTAGCAATGAGCATTAAGAAGGACATTGATTGCAGGGATCTACAACCCCAATTTTAAGCAAGTAAGCCACAAAAATACAGTTTAGATGCTGAATCTCTTATAAGTAAAGATGGGCAGAGGTTCACCAGTCTGTTAAAATCTGTCTAAAAATAGTGGAATTATTTCTGGCAGCTGTTTTTTAGTCACATGAATCAAAAAATTAAAATATTTGGGAACCACAGATGCCGTGTCCTTTATACTAAAGAGGAAAGGGACCATCCGGCCTCTTATCAGCACAGTTTAAACGCCTGCCTCTTTGATGCTATGGGGGTGCATTAGTACCTCTGGCATTGGCAGCTAACGTGCCTGAAAGGGCACCATCAATACAGAAAAGTTTATACAGGTTTTAGTACAATATGTTACAATCCAGGTTTGCAAATTATTGCATTCTTTTTGCATTTTCATTTTATGCTTTCACCTTCTTTAGATATGAGATTGTAGGTTTGGGGGAAAAATGCATAAATACTGATCTTTCAGTAATTCTCCATGTTTTATCTTTATACATTTTTAGCTCCTGCATGGTCAGTGTCTCGTGCAGAGATGGTGATGGAGGAACGGGCGCGGAGCTGCCTCTTGCGCCTTCGCCACAAACTGGAGGAGGACATCAAGCCCACCTATCTCATGGACCACATGATCAGCGATGGCGTCATGACTGTGGAAGAAGAGGAGAAGATCAAGACACAAGTGAGCTTGAGCCATGATAAATTCCTCAGACGTTTTGTTAAACACTCTGAATTTCTGCCACATAATTGGATATTTAGGTTCATCTTGGATGACGAGTACTAAGGCCTTCAATAAGACTGTCAAAAAGCTGTTTGTTTAAAGCACATTTTATTTTATTTTTTTCTCCAGTCCACCAGGAAGAATCAAGCTGCCGCCCTGCTTGACCTCTTGCTGAGGAAGGACAATCGTTCCTACATTTCTTTCTACAATGCTCTGGTTAAAGAGGCATATGATGATTTGGCCAATCTGTTGCGAGCTGATCTACCTTGTGTTTCATACGGAGATCAGAATGGCTCTTCTGACCATCATACGCCATATGGTGAGAAGTGGGAGGTTGTGGGTTGAGAGAGAGGAGGTTTCTAAGTGAAGGAGTCGAGGAGTGATCATGTACTTGCTGTTTTTAAATTCTCTCCTTTTGTGATATAATGCAGTACATTCACAATTAAGATGCTTACACAGTCTTTACATGAATCCCCTTCTGTTTTATCCAACAGTCCAGACCATGCTAAGTGAAGGTGGGGTACCACAAAGGCCTGTAGTATTTGTCAGCAGACCAGAGCTGATCAATCGGGTTCGGGAGAAACTTTTTCGCCTCCAGAAAGACTCTGGCTGGGTTACAATCTATGGGATGGCTGGTTCGGGCAAGTCTGTGCTTGCTTCTGAGGCTGTTAGACATCATGGACTCATCGAAGGTGAACAACATCTAACTCATACTAAATAAGAAAAAAATAGTAAACCGTATGAATTCCTTTTATGCTCTAATATAACATTTTTATTCTGAATAGTGATGGTGTGTGTTTTTGAAAGTAGCTTGTAAAAATGTTTTGTAACAGTTTCTCAGTGTTTACCTCTTCTGAACCCAGAGTGTTTTCCTGGAGGGATCCACTGGCTGCCTATTGGTCAGCTGGACAAACCAGACCTGCTGGTAAAGATCCAGTCATTGTGTTTCCGCCTGGAGCAGAGCCTGGATGAAAAGTCAGTCTACCCCAACTCTCTGGACGAAGCCAAGGAGCGTCTGCGCTTCCTCATGTTGCGCAAGTATCCAAGGTCCGCTAGAGTGTGTCTTGGTTTTAGGTCTTTATATGTTATTGTTTCTCCAGGGTCAAAATCAGTTATTAACTAGAGAAATCACATTTCCTGCGAAAATGCAGTGTGAATGCTTATTGCAGAAGAACTAGCTGAAAAACAGCTAAAAGTAGCTAAAAAACCTGCTGAAACATAGCTGAAATAGAAGAGCAAGCGTAAATCAGCAGGAGAAAGCAGAAAGAACAGAAAAGTTTAAATGAGTGCAAAAAAAATGTGGAATTAGTTGAGAAAGCTAATATTGGCATAAAACAGCTGGAATAACTGAAACTAGCAGAAATAAGCTGAAATTAGAAGAAATAATTTAATTAGGTTGAAAGTAGCAGAAATTACCATGAAAAACATGAATTTGTCTGAAAACGGATGAAATTAGCTAACATGTCCTAAAAAGCTAGCTGAAAATGTAGGCACAAGCTTAAATTTGCATAAGAAAGCAGAATGAACATGTTTATTGAAAGTAGCAGAAATGAGCACAAAAAAGTGGAAATTACCTTAAAAAAAGCTGAAGTTGGCAAAAAACAACAACTGAAAAGTAGCTAAAAAAGCAGAAAGAAGCTTAAATTACCAGAAGGAAGTGGAGAGAGCACATTTTTGCTGAATTAGGCTGAGAAAAGTTGAAATGAGTGCAACAAAAGTGGAATTAGCTGAAAAGCTAAAATTAGCATAAAAACAGCTAAATAGTAACTGAAATAGCAGAACAACCTGAAACGTGCAGAAATAAGCTGAAAGGAGCAGAACGAAGTTAGAAGAAGCAGATTTTTTTTGTATATTTTTAAGATACTGAAACGAGCACAAAACTGCTGTAAAAACAGCTGAAATTAGCTGAAAGTAGCTGAAAAATAGTTTAATTTTGCACAAGGAAGCTGAACCAGAACACAATGTGAAAGGAGCAGTAAAAAGTTGTAAACAGATCTAAAGATTTCAAGGATGTAAAATGAGCTCAATTCATTTTCTATGAGGAAAAAAAAAAAGACAGAAATGATTAAATATTTCAAAAAGCTAAAGTTGCACCAAGACCAAAAGTCATAGCAGGATTGTCTTGAACAAGCGGAATGTTTTGAAATATAATTTGTTGAAATAGCACAAAAAATGTGGAGCGAGAGCGACGCAGAAAAATGTAAGGAAGAAAAATGGATCACAATAGTGTGAATGCTTCATAAACATTCAAACAATAAAAATTTGGGACTTGTGCATAATCGATTGTGGAGGAAAAAAATCAAAAGGAAGTTCTTCACACGTTAACTGCCATTTGTAGTTGCTGAGGTAAAATGCATTTCCTTGTCATAAATATCTATATTTTTTCTAGATCCCTACTAATTCTTGATGACATCTGGGATAGCTCTGTGGTGAAAGTGTTTGATATACAATGCCGGATTCTTATGACCACCAGAAACAGAGGCATCGCTGATTCTGTTGGTGGTATGTGATCTCATATGCGGTGACATTTTCTTTTTAACAATAAAAGTAGCAAATAAAAAAAAATAAAAAAAAATCCATGTTCTGTGCGCTTTTATATTTTAGGTTTCAAACATGAGGTGGAAGTAGAAAGTGGTCTGGATGAGAAAAAGGCAATGGAGATCTTGGCTCTGTACACTGAAAAAAAGCCCCACACTCTGCCAGAAGAAGCTCGTGGTATCGTTAGAGAATGTAAAGGTCTGTAAATAACATGTAAAAGTCTAAATTGTTCCAAAAACTTGATTTAAAGTTCAATAAATTTTTTTTGAAGGCAACTTGCTTATTTGTTAGTATTTTTATTGAGGTCTAAATACAGAAAAAAACCCCAGTAAAAATGTTAATTTTTGACTCCATTTTTCTCTTTGGTTCTGGTTCAAATCAGATGCTTTATGTTCCATGTATTTTCTCTTTTCTCCACTCCTGGTCAGGCTCTCCTTTGGTGGTGTCTCTAGTCGGTGCTCTGCTGAAAGAGAAACCCAACCGCTGGCTTTATTACCTCCACCAGCTGCAGCAGAAGCAGTTCAAGCGCATCAGGAAGTCGTCCTCTTACGACTACGACGCCTTGGATCAGGCCATGGCTGCGAGCATCGAGGTTCTGCCTGAGGACCATCAAGATCTCTACAAAGACTTTACCGTGTTGGAAAAGGACGTCAAGATCCCAGCTAAGGTACAGAACAGTGCAGTATTTGGACCAAAATGATGCAGTAATATATGACGTCATAATGTTTTTTTATCCTAGGTGCTGTCTGTTTTGTGGGATCTGGAGCCTGAGGAAGTAGAGGACATTCTCCAGGAGTTTGTCAACAAATCTCTGCTCTTTGTTGACATCCACAGTAAACCTTATTTGTACTACCTTCATGACCTCCAGCTGGATTTTTTGGTGGAGCAGAATCGGGAACATATTGAGGTTGGGAGTTCATTTGAGCTCGTTTGCTGCTGCAGTTCGTTTGAACACATTACACGCTAATAAACATTGCTTTAATTAAAATGTGCTGATTAAACTATTTCGCTTTGCTGCTTTTCCTTAAAATATGCAATGTATATTTAAAGTGCATATATATGTTTGTGTTTACACATTTCAGAGCCTTCACACTAAGGCAGTGCGTCAGTATCAGCAGCACTACAAAGACGGTCCTTCCACTTCAGGAGACGAGGAATGTCTCTATTGGATCCGATTTTTGACCTACCACATGGCCAAAGCCAACCTCTCCCAGGTGAAACCAAGTCAAGTCAACTTTATTTATAGAGCACATTTAAAACAGCAACTGTTACCAAAGTGCTTGACAATAAGTCACAGCATCAAGTAAAACTAACAAGATATAATTAAAAGCATCAAAAATAAAAACATAGAAAATGCAATGAGAAACAATGGGATAATAAATCAGAGCAAACTGTGTTAAATGTCAGTAAATATAGGTGCGTTTTCAGGAGAGATTTAAAAACAGGAAGTGAAGTGGTCTGTCTAATATTGATGGGCAGATCGTTCCAAAGTTTAGGGCCAATGACTGAAAAAGCCCGATCTCCTCTGAACTTTAACCAAAAGCAGCTGGTCAGATGATCTCAGCGCCCAAGAAGGAACATATTGTTGAAGTAGGTCAGAGAGGTATGTGGGTACAAGGCTGTTAATGCACTTAAAAGTCAACAAGACAATTTTAAAATCAGTTGTGACACACGCAGGGAGCCAGTGAAGGGAGGACAAAACGGGTGAAATATGCTCAGACCTATGAGTTCCTGTCGGTAGCCGAGCTGCAGCATTTTGGGCAAGCTGGAGACGTGAAAGGGAGACCTGACTGACCCCAACATAAAGCGCTTTACAGTAGTCCAGCTGAGTTGTAATGACTGCATGGACAGACTTGAGCTTTGCTGTCTGCTTTAACTGGAAGAAGCTTTTATTGAAGAACAGAGTTACCGGTAATCTGTTTATTGAATTTAAAGTCCGAGTCTAAAACCATCCCAAGATTCGTAACAGACTGCTTGATATAGGGGCTGAAGAGAGTCAAGATTTACGGGATCAGTGACAACGGTAGAGCTAGGGCTAAACGCGACTTCAGTTTTCTGATCATTAAAACTTTAAAAAGTTGAAGCCATCCATGCCTTGATGTCATTGAGACATTTGAAAGGAAGGCGAATGGTGATGGAACTGTTGAGTTTTAAGGGCAGATAAATCTGGCAGCATAACAATGAAACGAAAGACCATGTTTCCTCAGGATAGAACCCAAGGGGAGCAGATACAATGAGAACAGCAGGGATCCAAGAATGGAGCCTTGTGGGACCCCGCAGGAAAGAGGCACAAAAGCAGATAAACTATTACCGACATTAACACAAAAACTGCCTCTCAGATACAAACAGAACCATTCTAACGCTGCACCGGTAATCCCAACCCAGCTGGTAAATCCACCCTCATTTTTAATTTAGAAGAACCCTCACTCTGTCCTGTCAGCTCGTGTGCTCACAAGATTTCAGAACATCACTTGATGTCCATAAATGTAAATGTCCATTCAAAACTTCAGAGGTGCATCAGAGACAACTGATCAGATTTGCTTACATTTCCTGTTATTCGTCTTTGACTTTTGTGCACATCATCTCACTCTGGTTTGTTCTTCTGGTTAGGAGCTCTACTCGCTCATGTTTTCACTGGACTGGGTCAGCATCAAGGCCAAGATAATGGGTCCAGCACTCCTCATTAATGACTACGTGGAGTATGGGTCCATTCTTGACAAAGAGGTTGGTAAACATGAGTTGTTTTATGATATAAAACAAACTTGGCTGCTGTGTGTATGTTAATTCCAAGTTTTGCAACAATGAATGCACCTGGGGTAAAAGTGCTGCTCTTCTCATTAAATGTGAACTTTGAACGTGAACAAGAGGAAATGCAGGTTTACAAGTTCTGTTATCTTTCTTGCATAAGAGATATCACATTTATTAGGAAGAAGAACGCTCTGTTATCTTTCCCCGGAACATTTCTGACTAATTCCTCTTCAGCGATAAGTTCATTTAGTTTCTGTTGTGGTTTCTATAATTCTCTTTTTAAGGATATCCCATCATAAATTAGCTAATTTATGAATTAGAGAATGTAAGCATGGATGAAAGTATGTGGAAAATGTGCATAAATAGAATAGGTGCATGCAATTTTTAGTAAAAATAGATTTCAGTAATTAAACACTTACCTTCTGAGGACTCTAGTTAATGTACCGTATTTTCCGCTGTCCCCGTCACACCGCCCTATAAGTCGCATCAGTTCAAATATGTCTAAAAAAAGTGGAAAAATCCATAAATATGTCACTTCGCCGTATACATTGCATCTATTGCGCGTCACTGCTGACAACCCAGAGATGTGGGCCGAGCCTGGAAATGTGGGTCTGTTGTGCCAAAAATCAATTGGCTGCCAATTGGCAGCCGAGGGAGCGTGCACAGGATTTTAACAAGAATTTAACAAGAGTATCACTTAAAAACAATTATTTGTTTGCTCAAAATTATAGTAAATGTGTGTTTCAGTCTAACTTTTGCTTAATAAATGCACTTTGACGGTCAAATCAGCTGTATTTCAAAACCCAATTCGCTTAAGCGAGCACGTGCAGAAGGATGAGCCGCTGTTCGTTTCTTCGAAATTTAACAAGAAAAGCACCTAAAACAATTATTTATTTGCTCAAAATTATAGCAAAGCTGTGTCTCAGTTGAACTTTTACTTAATAAATGCACTTTAATGGACAAGTTTGCTGCATTTCGCCGGGGTGGTGAAGCTGGTTTGACGGTTGCCCCAAGCAGTGAGCAAAACAAATGTGGGGGGTACTGTGGCAAGCCAATTGTGTCATTAATAGCTGGTAAAGATTCTCAGTCATCCAGGACATGGTAAATTCAAAAAAGTTCAAGACAAAAACTATAAAGTATAAAGTATAATAAAGTCCAGTTGTTTTTGTCTTGAACTTTTTTGAATTTGTCATTAAAGTCACTTTTACCTATTAGATGATACAACGTCATGCCTTACTGCTGCAGCTGCTACTACTACTACCACTACTACAACTACAATGCTGTCATCTAGTGGCTGCAAATGGTAGTGTTCTTTTTTTTCCCCAGTCAGAATGAATGAAAACAGTCATATCTCAGCCAAAAATTGTTTTATAAATATGGGAAAAAATCCATAAATACGTTGCTTCAGCCTACAAGTTGCAGGACATGTAAATTATGCAAAAAAACACAAATTGTACAGCGAAAAATACGATATACCTAACATCCAACAGTAGCCTGATGCTGGTCTGTGCTTTGTGTCTTCCAGAACAGTGAAGTTCGCAGTCAGTTCCAGGAGTTTTTGTCTCTGAGCGCCCACCACCTGGAGCAGCGTCCTTTCCCTGATGTCCTTCAGCTCGCTCTGTCTCAGCCACACACCTCAGAGGTCTACAGGCAGGCTCGACAGCAGGCCCAGAACCGGGCCAAGAGGGGCAAACTCTACTTTGACTTGATGTATGAAAACAAGCGTTTATATTCGCTGATCCTAAAACATAAAAGTTGGCTCAAATTTTGAGCGTCTTCTTGTACTTTTCCATCCGAACATGTTTTTTTTTGTTGTTTTTTTTTTGCTTCTAGGTAGTATGTAGAGAACATGCTGACTAAAACTAATATCTGATGTTATCAAATTATTATTTTTTAAAGTTTTAACAGCTTTATTGCCCATTGGCAGACGACTATTGGTGCCTATAGGATGTCAAAAGCTTTCTTTAATTGTATTTTATGTGTTTTTATACAGAAACAAGAGCAGTGTAGAGAATTTGTCTCGGTTAGTGATCCATCCTCACCAGGGCTCCATCTATTCTGCCTGCTTCTCCCATGATGGAACCAAAGTTGCCTCTTGTGGAGCTAACAAGATGCTTAAGGTACTCACTGAGAAGGTGGACTCTTCTGTCTAAATATATAAAAGGCAAAGAGTTTTAATGAAAACTGAATGTGTTTTTTACATGTCCCCTCCCTCTTTTATGATCAATTTAAATGTGCTGCACTCCCATGAAACTGAGTGAAGTTTTCAACCAAAATATATCAAAAATATATAAAATATTCACATAGTTCTTATGAAGTTATCATCAAATGACATTAGCAGAGTAAAAAGAGCTAAAGCTACATAATGTCTGTCATTATTTGCTAAGTATTTTTTGGTTGTCTTGCCTTCATAACCCATTATTTTGCAGTTTAAGGTTTTTATTTTAAATTGATGTATATGTGTGTTCAGGTGTTTAAAAGTACCTCAGGTGAAAAGCTCATCCAAATCCACGCCCATGATGAAGAGGTGCTTTGCTGCGCCTTCTCCCCTGACGACCGTCTCCTAGCAACATGCTCAAGTGACAGGAGGGTCAAGGTGAGTCGTCATCGAGTGTTTCATCAACTTCACTGCAGAAACGCACGATAACTGAAATCTGGTAAATCCAGCTGTTTCTCATCTGTTTTTATGCTAAAATCAGCGTACTTGTGAGTTTCAGGTGTGGAACGCAGAACAAGGCAAGCTGCTGAGGGCCTTCCTGGAGGAGCACGAGGAACAGGTTAACCACTGTGAGTTCACCAACACGACACAGAAGCTCCTTCTGGCCACCTGCTCCAACGACGAAATGGCCAACGTCAAGGTGCGCATGTTTCCACAGTGTATTTATTACCATTATTATCCAGTCACATCTTTTTATTTATTTTTTTACTTTTGTGTATCCCACTTTCTTTTCTTTGGTTCTTACAGTTTTGGAATCTCAACAAGCCCGCCTCCCAGAACACCTTGTTTGGCCACTTCGAGCCAGTGAAACACTGCTGCTTCTCCCCTGATGATAGCTACTTGTCCACTTCCTCCGTTGACGGAACTGTTAAGGTGACTGCTGTTTAACTCAATACTTACGAAGCTTTCTATACTTTATATGTATGGTTTTAAATACTTTCTGTTGTTTTGACTGTCGTCACTTAACAAAATAAAAGTCTGCAGGTAAGACAGATAATTTGCCTATTATACATGTAAAAATGTATCATAAATGCAGCATTTCTTGAAAGAATGCATATCCCACCACCTTCTTGCCCATGACAGCGTTTTTGAGCAGTTTTAGTGAAACCTTGAAAACAACATTTTATACATCCTTATGCGATGTTTTGTGATCTTCTGAGCTGCATCAGTGCTTGTAATATGAGTCGTAAATAACTCCTAGTTATTACCACCTCAGTATCTGTAAAATTAACTGTTTTAAACATTTTGTGCTTATGGCAGCCATGTTACATTGGTTTGGCTCAAAAAGTTACGGTAATCCGTTTTTAAAATACATACACTGATTTTTCCTGATGAATAAATTTGACATTAAACATAATCCAAGTTGAAGTGTTGCATCATTTTCAGCCCCCTTTTTGACATCTGCATTTGGTAGCAGGCCAAATTGACAAAGACCATGCAGAATAATGTAATATTTTAATTCTACAGCAGAGAAAGCTGTGCAGTCTCTGTAAGTACTGGTAGGTCTAGGAAAAAAAATATGGGTATTGTTATCAGTTATCAGCCAAATAAGGTTTAACATATTAGCATGGTAGGATATTGGCCAAAAATCCAATATGGTGCATCCCTAAAATATAATAGTTTGCCTTTAAGCAACAAGTGATAGTTGTTAATGTAACAGAAATTGATGTTATTTAGAAATGCATTACCTTCAGAACCCACTCTGCGCTGACATCCTGTCTGAATGCTTTCTTGCAGTTGTTTCAGGTCTCGACTGCCAACGAGTGGAAGACGATCAATGTGAAGAGCGTGTTTTCTGACTGCGACAACGAAGAGGTTTTTGTCAAGTGCAGCACCTGGACCGCCGACAGCAAGCGCATCATTTGTGCTACGAGACATGTTGTTTTGGTGAGCGTTAGGAAGGGAAACTGAACGTCTTGGATACAAGAAAGCACGTTATTCAGCAGTGTTGTGATGTTCTGTGGTTAAGATTTGACGAATTGTGTGTAAATGCTTGAATCTTGGAACGTCACATTCATTTTGTCCTTGTTTAACACTTCCTTGAAGAAGGCTGAAAAGGGAGTATGTTTTCTAATGCGTCTTGAAGCGTGTGTGTTTTGGGTGTAAAGTGGTACCCATCCTCTCTTGAGCTACTCAGAATCAGATATTCTTGTCTTGTAATCGGTCTGTGCCCTCCACATTTTTATTCTGGGAATCAACCCAACGCTGCAGAGACGCCTCTGCATGTTTCTTGGACTACTTCACCTCAGAAGTTTCTTCTTAAAATTAAATTCTCCATGTGTTTCATTGAGCACATATGCAGACTAGACTGATGTGTTGTCTGCATGTTGTTGTTTTGCAGGTATTTGATGTGGAGACAACAGACATGCTGTTGGAGATAAAGACCAATCGTCTGGGCACAGTGCAATACTGTCATGCCTGTCCGACCAGCAACCTGCTGGCAATCGCATTCTCAAACTACACTGTAGAGGTAGAACGCTTTTCACCTGAATATGTAGTTTTGTTTTACTTCAAGTGTGTAAAACGACACATTGTGTATCTGTTTAGCTGTGGGACCTTGAAGCCAATAAGAAAAAGGCTGACTGCAGCGGCCACCTGAGCTGGATTCAGCGTGTGCAGTTTTCTACCGACGGCTCCCAGTTGCTCTCCTGCTCAGACGACCAGACTGTCAGGGTAAGTGTTGCTGCCTCATAGGAACACCTTAATTACCTCTTCTAAAAATAAACTCAAACTTGTCTCGTTATTGAACATCACAAGTTAACTAATTGCACTCCACTCTCAATTTACCAAAGGCTACTTTTCAGAGCTTAATGAGGATTGCTCAGAAATAATGGGGGTAAATAAGAAATAACTTTATAGTGTGGGAATGAAAGCAGTGATCATATAATAATTTACCGTTTAGATTTAGGTTTTATGTGATTGGTCTTGCCTAAATACAAGCTATTATTATCATCGCAGTGATTTAACAATTTCCATGACTACAGCCGTTTGTAATCACTTCTAACAACTTTATTTTACCTTTTTTGTTGTTGTGGCATGAATTACACTCACCCCAAGCTTTCTACAGTGTTGCACAGACTTTGTCTGAAACCTACTAAAAAAGACCAACTTTGCCAGTCCGGCATATTGCAAATCTTAAAATGATAAATGATAAATAGCTTTGAACACAAAAACACAAAACGATTATTGCAAAAACACGAAAGCTGTAAAGAAAACATATGACTTGAGCTGTATTTTATAGGTCTTAAAGATACTCTTTTCAAACTATAAAATAAAAAGGTAATTTTAACTATAGTAAATGGAGGACTTGGAGGTAGTTTATTCCATATATATTAATGTGCAATTCTAGAATGTGGGTATGCATTCAATGTAAACATAACATTCAGCTGAATCCTCTGAAAAGCGAGCGGATGCTTCAGTGACTGACCAATTTAAGGTTGGCTATAGTCGGTTATATTTTATCAGTTATAGTTTCCAGAAAAACTGGTTAGATCCACCAAGTTTCAAGTTTAAAAATGTATCTGTGTATGTCACTCAACAAATCAGTGTAAATATGAACCAAAACATCCAAACTGTCTGACTTCTTGACCCCACATGGCTCTTTCATGCACGTCATCGTTATTGACTCACTCTCATTTACTTCGGCAGTTTCCGTAGGTCAATAAACACCTGTAGTGGTCAGCAGCCGTTTACTAATTTAGCTTGCATATATTTAGTTTATGGACACATTATCCAACAGTATGATGGTAAAAGCTGTGTGGATTTCATTTTTTACTTAAGGATTTATTTATTTATATTTTGACCCATCTTCATAAAGTGCTCTTTATCCTTCTTAAAAGTGTAGCATATAATCTGTACAGCAAGTTAGTTAGCCCCAAACAGGATCCCCGAGGAACACTACGGTAAATGGGAGGGGAAAAAAATTGTAATTTTTACAGAAAAAGGCCTGCCTGCTACACAAGAAGTGAGAAGGACGGAACCCTGAATCCCAGCTGAGAGCTGAAGGTGATTTAAAACAATATGAAGATCAACCATTTAAAATTAAAGTGAATGTAACTGTTGAAGAACAAGAGCTGGTCATTCCAGATGTTGAAACGGATGGATTCTGTGCTGTTACGGACTGTAACTTTCCTATAATTTCTTTACCATTTAGGAAATATAATGCTGATAATGCAATACAAAGTACATACCTATTTAGGATAGTATTATTTGATAATATTTCTGAAATATTTAAGTACAAAGGAAGAAATTTAGGAGAACAACCATGTGATAAATGAGAGATTCAGTGTTGTGATTTTACCTTTTTTTTATTGTTCATGTTTTTCCCACATTTGATTTTATCTTGTTTTGTAGTTGTGGGAGACAACAAAGGTCCACACGTCTTCAGCCGTCTGCCTGAAGAGAGACTCGGACGTCCTCTTCAACGATGAGGAAATTATAGTGTCAGCTGCAGACAATTGCAACAGACTGCAGGTAATCTGTAGAAAATAGTGCTTCTTGCTGCTTTAAAAAAGAGGAATGTTTAGTTTTTTTAGTGCATGCTCAAGTGCGGATACAGCAGGCACCGGTGTGTGTGATTTATTAGCTTGTAGTTAAAATTATTGCGCGTGTTTTTGTGTCAGGTGCGTGACGGCAGAACGGGATCAGTGCTGTTCCAATCGGAGGAGATGTCGTCCAGGATCAGAAGTACCTGTCTGTGCAGGGAGCAGTCTGCTGTGGGCCTGGGCCATGAAAATGGCACCGTGCAGGTAAACACACACACACACACTGCAAATGCATGGAAAACAGTATTGAGTAATCTTTTTCCTAATATCAGCTTTATTTAAAATAAAACTTAAAATTTATTCCCATTTTCTTGCAAGAAAGATTGTCTTAACGTAACATCAGTGTTAAAATCATAAACTCTAATAGAGTTCATCACTCCTACCCCGTGTTTAACAGATGAGCATTAGCAGAACTGACTCTGTGTGAGTATAAATAAGAATCAGAATCAACCTTTATTGTCATTGCACAGAAGCACAACGAAATTACATTTCTGTACAACCGTCCAAAGAAAACAACACGGGTAGACGGGGGTGCCTGAGGCTGCAGCCTCATGGGAAGCACTGCCCTTTTTGTTTAGATAAGGAAAAGGGAAAACACGAGGAAAGAAAAGGTATAAAATAAACATATCTCACACGACACAATGTGAGGTTGCAAAAAACCCTCAGCACAAGAAAAAGCAACATATTGGTGACATAAAGACATATGCATGTGGAGTGGGTGAGGGTCGGGATCCCAGCACAGGCCGCCGAAGTGAGTGACGCAGCCACTGGCGCCTTCACATCTACCTAGGTTGCTGCAACGGGGGGAAAAAATGAGGGAGGCTAGCGAAGGCAATAAATTTGATGGGAAGTAGTCTGTGAACACTGTCTAGATAGCCCCCCCCCCCCCCCCCCCCAATAGTCCTGATAAGTGATGGTGCAGTGTTTGTCAGCCAGCTCGGTAGAGCTCTGACACAGTTCTATGTCCTTGGGGAAGGGAGCGGGTAGGTGAGCAGGGAGCAGAGCTTCTTATTCACATAACATCCAGGAGAATTTGAGTTAGTCAACCTTCCAAGGCCAACACGGGGGGAGCCAGATTCAGATAGTAACAGGTGTTTTGGGTCAGGCCGACTCTTTAATTGCCATCTGCCTTATGCAGTCTCGCTTGTACGGTAATGGTGGCTCCAAACAGCTAAATTTGTGATCACATACGCCGAGTCGAGCTTACAACTTCTCCAAGATCTATTCCTTCCCGCAGCGAGATTCAGGAGCTGCAAGTAGCCTGCGATTCTCAGCAAGAATCGCATCCAACTTACGGATCAGCTCGCACAGCATTGGAGTGTGAGTGTTGACAGCACAGCACATTCGTTCACACATGCCGGGCAGCGTCACAATGGCCAGAACAGCTGCCGATGTTTTCCGAATTTATCGATATGCCAGGTAACCATCAACTCTAAAAAGCAGAAATCCTGTTATCATAAATCCAATTCTGTACACATCTTCAGCGTCCTCGACTGACACTATGGCCAGGCACACGATCTTCCACTTCTCCTAGGAATCAAGCATGTATCCAGCTGCAAGTGTCCCATTGGGGCAGGAGGGCTCTCGTTCACCCTGTCTTCTCACTGAGAAAATTTAATAAATTGTGTTGAGAGACCAGCTGACCAGATCCATAATTTACAATTCGGAAGATTTGCAAAAAGATGCTCTAAAAAGGTTCACATGACAAGGAGCAGAGCAGGGGAAGAAGCAGGAGGAAAAACGTCCGCCTTAGCCGAGAGCAAGAAGGAAAATTAAATAAAAATAAGCAGAACAAATATATATTTTTTTAATTTCAGTAAAAAATTTGCATCTTTCTAAAGTAAGAGACTCAAATGCCAAGAATTCTTGGTTTTAAAAGTTGCCTTAGTTTGCGTGTAGATGCACGTTTATGGAATTCCCTGTCAGTAAAATCGGTGTTTTTAATCTGACATTAGTAGCGTTTCTTTTAATTTTTTATCTGTCCTGGCTCCTGTTAGTTGTGCATCAGGTCAGCCACAACAAGGCTTACAACTCGTTTTCTTTTCACTTATTTCAATTTTCTCTCCCACTGTCTGTGATTTTTATTCCCACTCGCTCTGATTTGATATCTTACTTCACGCATTGATCTAATATCCCTGGTTTGGTTTGTTTTTCCTCTCCTTTGTTCTGAACACCTCCTTGTTCTCCTTGCTTTGTCTCTGTGATAAATTGTTGTACATAGAGAATAAGATCCTGAAGTGCTTTGTGTCAACTGTGTGTGTGTGTGCTCTCTTTGTGTATTGTATGTTAGGGCAGCTCACTATTTTAAAACCCATTCTCAAGCTCAGTCCCCCGACACACACGAGTGGCCGGGCCAAAGTCTCAAAGCAGAGAGCAGGTAATTAATGAAAAGGTTCTGCAGTCCTAATGAATACAACTTAAAGATTAAAACTATAGCTCTGACCTTCATCCTGACCCCAGAGATAAGTGAAGGAAGGATTAACACAACGGGAGCCCAGGTGATTTGATCTGTGCAGTTTAAAGATTTAAGGAAGTTGTTTTATCCCTAAATTAGCCATTATGGGTAAATTTTGAAAATGAGCCTGTTTTGTTAAACAGGAAAAACACAGTTATTACACTGTTTGGTTACAGTCAATGGCAAAGCGTCCCACTGAAAATTGATACGTTTAAAAGAATAAATCAATGGATTTAGCATCTTCTGGTGCAGTGCGCTCCATAAACCTGGGATAAATGATTATCGGAGTCTTGAAATTACCAGTATTTCCCAAATTGTCTACAATTAAAAATGACTAATATTTTTTTTTGCCATAGTAACACACCATACCATTTTATTTATAAAGCAACAAGGCCAACCAAAGTGCTGTACAGCAAAAACAAACAAACAAAGGACTCAGGAGAAAACACATGGATACAAATGGATAAAGATAAGAACTAAATGGGTAACATTATAGAATACAGACGAGTTAAAATCAACTCACTTTGTCAAAAGCCAGGGGGAAAAAGCAAGTTTTCAAACGAGACTTTAAAACAGTGAGAGAAGGGGGTCTGCCTGACATGCAGTGGTAACCATCCCATAGTTTTAGACCTGTAACAGAAAAGGCCCTGTCACCTCTGAGCTTACAATGAGTGCCTGGAATCAATAAAATCATCTGATCGCCTCAGAGAGCGCAGTGGGGCACGTGGCTGCAGCAGATCATCGAGCTAGGAGGGGGGAGAACGGTTCAGAGTAGGGATGCACGATATTGGATTTTTGTCCGATATCCAATATGCCAATATGTTAAAACTTATTTGGCCGATAACTGATACCAGTACCGATATTTTTTCCCTAGACCTACTTACAGATACTACATAGCTTAGAATTAAAATACTACATATTTCTGCATGATCTTTGTCAATTTGGCCTGCTGTCAAATGCAGATGCCAAAAAGGGGGCTGACAATGATTTAACATTATATAAATACTTAATATATATATACATTAAAAAAAGTACCTTTTTTATATTGGTGTTATTTTGATGGAATGTCCGATATTTAACTTTATCGCTAATATTGGCCAATACCAATATCATGCTGATAATATCGTGCATCCCTAGTTCAGAGATTGAAAAACATACAGAAAGATTTTAAACTGAATTCGAAAGTGAACCAGGATCCAGTGAAGGGAGGCCAGAACTGGTGCAATGTAATCTCTTTTGCCTGTACCAGTTAAGAATCGGGCTGCAGCATTTTGAATCGGTTGTAATCGTGCAATTCATTCAACCTTTCTTTATACAGGTTAATCCCATTGAGCCTCGGGAACTCATTTACACAAGAGACCTGCTAATGCAATAGAGGTGCAATAGATGATGATAGTGTAGATAGTGCAATAGAGGTCTAACTCTAGTAGTTAAAAGTAATAGTAGTTAGAAGAGAAGTAGTTTGTGAAGTTAACAGTGTATGAAAATAATCTAATAATTATTTGTATGCTTTTGTTTGTGATTTAACGTTTATCAGCCATAAACAGTCACAGGTCTTCTCTGTTAATATTTGAGTCAGAAGCTGAAATAACAGGTTTGGGAACCACAGGTGCATTGTGTCAAATATTGAACTTCATGCGTGATTTCCAGCTTGATTTCTGACCTTTGTGAACATAACTAACTTCTATGACATTGTGTTTTTACCATTAAAATATTAATTCAAATCTGTACAAGTAATTTGGCATGACGGAGAAAAGCAGAACTGGAAATTCTCTACAGATAATGTGCTTCTTTTGATCTGTAATCTTTTTTTAGTTTTAAGATAAATTTCACCCCTTTCAGAATTTATTTTCCTTCTGTAAAGTTTGCAGTTGGATGCTTTCTTGTCATTTGCTCTTTATAGATTTCTTTTTTCTCCCCTGCACTAACACCAGGTGGCACCCTTTGACAAAGACTCAGCAGATTACTGCAGCACATCCATTATTTTTTATAACCTTCATTTTGATTTATTTGCAATCCGTGTACAGGAGGAAACATTAAAAGCAGTGACAGTGTGAGTTATTGCATTTGTTTTACTGCAGTAAAAAATAGACAGATTCTTTAAAAAATATGCATTAGAGAACAACAAGTCACTGTTGTGTGTTTTTAAAGAGACTTAGTGTTTGTGTGTTGTGTGGCAGGTGTCAGGACTGACAGCTAGTCAGGTGCTAAGGACAGTTGGCTGCAGGATCCGGCGCCTGCTGACCCCCTGCAGGGGGTCGGTGCTGGCAGTCGCTCTGTGCTCAGGCAGCGTGCAGGTAGTGTATGGTAGATGCAGCGTAGAAATGTTTGCATTTCAGAGCATTCAAGAACCAGTAGTTGTTTGCTTCTGTGTGGATTTTTATTTGCCTGTTTCAAATGCTTTAGAAAGCTAAGCTAACTGTGCTGAAATTATTAAACCATGCAGAATCGGCCTCTTTGCTGGCTTTCATTTGTCTTTTTTTTTTGTAGCTTTTTAAAAAAGTGTTCCATGTCTTTATCTTTTATATTAGCCTCCTGATATTAAGACACAAAACCTTGAAACTGAAGTTTCAAACTCTCCCAAGATGTCCTCTCAGTCTTTGAACTTTGCGTTTCTGTGTGTGAAGCTTGATGATCCTGGTCGGCATGTCCCGAGGCTTGTTTCTGCTAAAACGTTTCAACCCTCGTGCCTGAATATTTCAGTGTCTGGTAAAATCCCAGGAGTTGTTGGTCTTTCCTTGATTCTCACAAAATCACTGGTACTTGAGCTACAATCCATTCGCTCCTTTTATAGACAAATTGTTTAATTTAAAAGGGTAAAATGTAATTAAATCAACATTTGGACAACGTAAATGTAAAAGTACCAGAGTTAGCGAAAGGCTAATGCCAGTGGCAGCTGGTGGAATTTCCAACATGAGGGGCTACAACTCCAAAATATACATATACCAAAACATATATGTTCAAGACATTCCACACACACGCACGCATCACAGTCTCATCGGTTCGCTCACTCATGCTCACGTCTGTGCACTTTATTAACTAATTCCTTACCTGTGTAAAGACAATAAATAAGGCACATTAATGATGACTGTTGTTAGAATATTCCACATCACCTCACCGTCACCTCCAGTCGTCTCTCCTTTCTACACAGGACCCCGACCGGTATAAACAAACCCAGCGCTGAATGCAGCGGATCTCCCATCTGCCTGATCAAAATTAATGCTACACCTCTTTTAAATGTGCTGCTGTCTGCCAGCTAAATAATATTTCATACATAGCCTCATTGTGAGTGTCACTGCACAATCTGTTCCGGGACAAAAATACATAAATAAATCTGTACCGGGGTGCCGGGACCGGAAGCACAATCTGTACAGTGCGCCGGTACTCAGGGCGCTGGAGTGGTGCGCCCAGAATCTTCTATCCCTTGTAACAAAGAGGAGCTAAATGCACATGTACAACTTTTAACGAGAGTCCATGGGCTAAGCTTTTTGCGCCCCCAGGGCGGAAATACATCACCACTCGGAGACAACGTTTTTGAAAGAAACAACTTAACTTATCATTAACTATAAAATATTTACCTTACACAACAAAAAATATATATACACATATTTTGAAATATTTTTATTTTATTATTTCATTTTTATGTTTTTTAAGTCTTCAATGTAATATGGTGAATGGTGTGAGTGGTGGGGCAGCACCCTAGACTGGCTAATGCTGATCAGAAGTCATTTTGGTTTGACAATTTGGGCATTTTCAGGCTGTATATAGGCTGCTGGCTTTTGTGTGAAATTTTCAAAAAATTAAAAATGGGCAAAAATAGACAAAGAAATGACGACCCTTGAAGGTCCAGTTAACTAGAATTTGAATTAAAAGTCTCAGTTGCTGAGGAGATTTTTGCATAAAAAGGTATGGCCATCAAACAACCACAAAACTGGATCATTTCTATATAAAACAGTAATAATAGTGATTAATTACATTAGTTGTTTTTTATGCCTACTTCTCTTTTTCCTAAAGTTTACCACTAATGCTAAAATTTGTTAAATTTTGAAAAGCTCTAACCTTGTCCAAACATCAATGTGCTTTCAGAAATGTATGACAATAGACAAACCAACAATTCTTAGGGTAGAGAAGCCAAATTAATTCTTACCAGACACAACTCTGTTTATGTAATTATGTGCTTTGGCTGCTTTGATTAGAGGCCGTGTGAGAAACTGCTGTCATCTTCGTCTTTGTTCATAATCACAAGAGTTGCCTGCAAGGACAAACAGATGGCGTTCATTTCTTTATGAAATAAATCTTCAGTCCTCTTGTTGTCATCATGAACTAATGTGCAGTGCACCCATGATACACACTGAAAGACCATATGGTTAAACATCTACAAGGATGCAGTAGTCTGCTAAAGCAGACTTGCCAAAACTCTTCCAGGGTTTGATCACAAATATGGTTCTCATGGTGCCTGTGGTGACCATCTTTATCTGTGACATCAAATATTTTATGTTGTCAATGTCTTTCATTTAAGAGAACATATAAAACTTAATTCTTATTGTGTGCCTTTAATTTCCTTATGTTTTTTTTTAAGCCTATAGGGATGTTTCCAAGCTGCAATGTTGCAGAATCTCCCAAAATCCATCCCTCTATGTATTTTCTTTACTGTTTATTCCTGTTCAGGGTCGGGGGGAACTGTTGTCTATCTCCAATGGTCTGGCTAAAGGTGGGGTACACTCTGAACAGGCTGCCTGTTACGTCCACCAAGAACACAACACATTAAGGAGCACACGTGCCACAAACATCAGGGTTCAAAACATTAAATTTATTAAAGCTGCTGCTTCTGGGGGGGGGGGGAAGATTATTATGAACTCCCAATTCCTGTGTCCACCTAAAAAGACACAAAAACCCAAAGTGTTGAACTGAAAGATGGACCTGGTGAGCTGGTCAAACAGAACAAAACGGTCGAAGCCACTGCTGGTACCGGACTAAAACTACAAAAATATACTAAAAGAACTAGTTCAAAAGACAGAACGAAAACAGGACAACCAGTCCCACCAGGCCAAAATTACTATAAAAAAGGGACAAAAGTTAACAAAAAACTACCTTGTCAGACTGAGGCTGGCTGCTGCGGCCCACATCGTCAGGACTCATCCTGGGCAGGATGAGTGAGAGGGAAGCAGAGCCCAAAAAAGACGAGGGCAGCCAGAGGGCAGTCAAAAACCAAGAGCCCAGAGAGAAGCCAAAAAGAGAGAGGGATGAACAAAAGCTCCCTGGGACCAGCTTATTTATAGGCAGATGTAAAAACGCCACAGCTTAAAACAATCAAGGTTAATTAGTTAAGAAAACCCAAAATATGTCCAAAGGATGGAATAGTAATAATAATGTGCCTCAGGCACATAACACCACCATATTCCTCAAAGTTAACTTTAACATTTTTAAGAATTTCCCCATCACAAGAAGTTATTACAGCACTTTACTTTGTTGAAATAAAACACTTTCCTACACCTATATTGTTTTGTTTTCGGCCTCCTGTAGAAACTCCTAAAGTCGTTTGTGATTCTGATGTTGCCCTCAAAGCTCGTAGTTTAACTCCATTCGTACGACATCACTAGTTTATTTGTGGCCGTTTCGATGCTTCTCAAATCTTAGAAAAAAACATACCCTTTATTTTGCTGTTTCTCTACATATTTGTGCTGCAGCTGATGTTCTTCTTGCTGTTTTGTCTTGTCCTTCCAGATCCTGGAGGTGCCCTCCGGGAAGCTTTTAGCCACTCTGCAGGGGCACACTAAGACCGTGCTTCACTGCCAGTTCTGCCAGAGTGGCCAAACGCTCATCACATCCTCTGAGGACACCACCATCAGGGTAGGTTCAACTCCTCTCCTCCTCCTTTTGTTCCCTTTCTTTTTTTTAGACATCTCAAGTTTGTTTCTGCTCAGTTTTGTTTCTCCTTTTCTTCTTTTTCCTTCTGCTCCTCATTCATGGGGGCCGAGATGAGGTAGAGGCAGAGCAGCCAACCTGGGACCCAAAAGTCCCAGGTTCAATCCCCAGTCTTTGAACATGTCGATGTGTCTGAGCAGGACACCCTATCTCCAATTGCTCCCTTCAATAGCTGCCCATTGCGCCACCTGGGGGTGGATGGGTTAAATGCAGAGAGCCAATTTCGTCATTGTATGGGAACATGCAATGATGACAACACATAATACATTATTATCCCTCACCTCCTCCCTACTTAGTGGCATCTTTTCCAACTCCTCCCTTTTACTTGTTTCCCATCTTTCTTCCGTTATTGCTCATTGTTCTCCCTCCATCCAATCCTTCTCCTTTAGTAAAAATACTAGCTTTAGTGAATCATTCATCCTCAGTGTTTCAGGTCCTACGGCAACTTTGCCTTTCCCCTACCGGTTAAACTCCACCAGCTCCTCTGCCGGCCTCTTCACCTCTCCACACTTCATCCTTCTGTCTTCTCTCCTTTTCCCAACTCTTTTTGCCTCTGGCTACACTGCTCTCAATAGCTCTTTATCTCCACCCTGCTCCTGTGTTGACCACATGCAGCTGTTTGTGTGTGAATGCTGAAAGTGTGCACATCAGGCTGTTACGCTCTGTCAACCCCCACTGTTCATGCTCTGTTACTCTTTCCTCTTCCCCCTCTCATCTCGTTCTTCTCCTTCTGCGTCTCCTCTTTTTACCTACAGACCTGTCCACTGCAGCACCTTCTTGGCTCTCCTCTCCAACAGCAAAGCTCCTCATTCTGTATTCATGCGGCTGCTGCCTGCAGCATCGCTATCCTCAGACCATGCCACGGCTTGTTCTGAAAATACTCAGCTTCATGCCGCTTGACATGTGCTTGCTAGGAAATGCAAGCGATGTATTTAGATGTTAATGCAAACGCAGGGCGAATACAAAAGACATATTTTTACCTTGAGACAAGAAAAGAAGAGAAACCTCAACGTTGTGCACAGATTGTGCAAACCCTGTAGCTGTTAGGAGTCTGTTAGCAAAAATATCTAATGAATCACTGGATGAATTTGAATAAAACTTTCAGGAAATGATCATTGGATGCACATCTACAATTGAATCAAGATGGCTGCTGCGGTTTATCAAAATTATCCAATACATTATGCTATAACTCCATCAATTGTACTGATAAACATGAAAAAGAAAAACACAAGACAATAAATGTAAAACGTTGTGTACAGAGGTTTCCACTGCATCCAACATGAGTATGTATTTTGCAACAACTTCTTTACTGTTTTTTAGATGAGTCAGTTTTTTCTGCGGCACCAAAAATGTAACGTTGATTCAAATATACCTGCAAATGATTAAAATCTTTCTAATTTCTTCTTAGAAAATATGGTTGATTTGTCCCTTTTTATCATTCATAGGCTGAACCATGTGTTGGAAAAATTCAGACATTTTGCTGTTTTTGCACACAAACTGACAAATGCTCATAAAAACATTGCTACCACCATCGGTACATTTCTTTGATGCATGCTGTCACAACTGGAAATACTCTGGTGGCTCCTAGCTGGAGTGCACAGGAGGCAGGAAGCAAAAGTATGTTACAGAAATGCTTATATTTTATTTAAAGCGTTCAGATGAGCGTCACAGTTTAAATGCCGACTGCTTTTTGTGTTAATATGTTCACTAATTGTGCATTTAGGCAATAAAGCTCTCATTATTTAGAAAAAAAAATTCTTGTGAGGAATATATATAAAAAAAACAACAACAATCTGGTCATCAGGCCTTCAAATTAGGTAAATAAACCCTCAGAGGAACTGCATAGAATGGATAAAACTGGGTCATGCAAAATAATAATCCCAAGCACAGCAACAAATCTACAGCTGAATGGCTGAGAATGAAAGGATTAAGCTGTTAGAACAGTGAAAGTGGAGACTTTAGCCTGACTGAAACGCTTGGCGAGACTAGATGAGAGTTGTGCATATGCAGACAAAATTATTTGTACAAATATATTAAAGAAAAACAACCCACAAAGGTCACTGAAATGACCTCAAACTGACTAAACAAAAAAATGTCTGAAATCAGTCATTGCTTTTAAATTAATTTCAACGGGATTATTTTTTTAAAACAAAATATGGTAATGAAACTGGCCTTGACAAGGAGGATGATACCCCTAGAAATTAATAAAAATATTTGACCATCAGACCAAAGTTCATGCTCAATAATCCAGGTAATAATCCAACAATGTTCAGTCAGGTCATTTGGACGGTTTCTTTTTTTGCAGAGACGTTTCGTCCTTTATCCAAAAGACTTCTTCAGTCTGAGTAGCCAGCCACCAGCAAACTGAGTCCCACCACAAACAGCACACTCCCATAGTGGGGAAAAAACATTTAGCTGGTGATAAGTTGGCCTCTGGGGCCTGCCCTCTCCCCCGTCAACTCCTCTGAGGGACATGACCATAGGGACATGTTAAACTTACGTGTCTTGTAATCAGTATTACATGTGTCTTCAGTCCTGTAATTGGTCAGTCAGGGGAAAAGTACCATCTTTTTCGCTGTATAAGTCGCACCTTTTTTAATAAATTTGCAAGTCCTGCAACTTATACACCGAAGCGACTAATATAAGTTTTTTCCCCAATATTTATAATCCAATTTTTGGCTGAGATCTGACGAGTTCATTCATTCTGACATGGAAAAATATTGAACACTACCATTTTCAGCCACTAGAGAGCCCTCAACTAATGTGGCAAGCCAAGTGTCTCATTAATAGATAAAAGTGGCTATTAATGAGACACTTGTCTTGCCATACCAAGCCACCTTTGTCTCGCTCCGGAACTCCTGGAGCAAACGTCAAATCAGCTGCATTTCACCGCGCCGCCCAGGAGAAATGCAGCTGATTTGACAATTAAAGTGCATTTATTAAGGAAACGTTAAACTGAGACACACTTTTACTATAATTTCAAGCAAACAAATAATTGTTTTTAAGTGTTAATCTTGTTAAATTCTTGTTAAAGTCCTCCCGTGCACGCTCCCACGGCCGCCATTTGGCAGCCAATCGATTTTTGGCACAACACCGGCCCACGTTTCCGGGCGGTCAGCGGTGACACATAATAGATGCAACCTATACGGCAAAGCAACTTATTTTTTATTTTTTCTACTTTATTAGACATTTTTGGACTGATGCAACTTATAGGGCGGTGTGACGTGTACGGTAGTCACTGGGCTGTTTGATATCATGGTGTGTAAGAAGGCACGCCTCAAACCTGAGACAGCTGGAGCAGTTTGTCCACGAGAAGTGGACCAAAATACTGCGGACTGGTTTCCAAGTCTCAGAGAGTTACAGCAATCCCTTGATTGCTTCGGCAAGTTGTTCCACATTTTTTTAAGTTAAGGGTACCCACCTTTTATTAGTGAAGGCCTGTAAATAATTTTGTTCAAGCACAATTCAAAACAATGGCTGATACTCATCAGATATATATATTTTTTTGTTCTTATTGTTGCTTTTGTCAATTTTACGTCATCTCAGAGATCTTTGTGTTTATTGTAATCATTAAAGGATACAAACAAACAAACAATTTATGCCTGTGCATAGTTTATTTTACAAACTGACAGTCCAGTAATAAATGACAGTGCAATAAGTCTTGTATTTTTATGTGTATCCAAGTGGTTGACAGATCGTCCTCTGTTTTTCCCTGTAGGTGTGGAAGTGGCAGTCAGGCGAGTGTAAAGTACTTCAGGGACACAAGGACCAAGTCCGATGCTTCGCTCTGCTCTCCGACTCAACAAACGACTTGAGACTGCTGTCCTGGTCCTTCGATGATACCGTGAAGGTGAAACGCACACACACACACACACTTTGCACGTTTAACAGCAATATAAAGTCATCCTGTAAATAATCTGTCCTTTCCTCACTGTCAGGTGTGGGACGTTGCGAGCGGAACAAAACTGCAAGACCTGGACGCTCATCAGGGAGCCATTCTGTCCTGTCACGTCTCACCAGACAGATGTCTGTTTGCGACCACCTCTGCTGACAAGACCGCTAAGGTTCAACGCTTACACACACTCGCTCATGAGACGAGACGTCTGTTTGTACCTCCAGTGACATGACCTATTACACATCAGTGTCTTCTGTCAAATCTTCCCAACTGCTCACTTACAGCACATAAACAAGGATGCATTGCTGTGCGTTATTAAAGTTTGTCCAGTGAGGCAGTGAGAGACGTTACAGTAGATATGCATCAGAAGGCTGCAGGTCAGTCTGTTCTCCACACGTTTCCAGTCTGGATGTATTTCACGTTGCTGCAGGCCAACCCATTCAGCAGGTTGGCTGCCCCCAGCTGACCTCCCCCCTCTCTGAAAGTAGCTTCTGCCAGTTTACCAGTTGACTTTGATTTGACTTTGACTATGAGGGCTTAGCGAGTTTTTTGTGAATACAGTCATTTCTAAGTTACCATCCATGGAGAAGTTAGCTGCACTGTGAACAGAAGGACAAGCCGAGCTGCGTTGCTCTTCGACACCAGCTTCCTTTCATCATCGTTCAGTGTCCTACAGTCTCCAACAGTTATGCAACCATTAGGAACTATTTTTGTTCCAGATTGAAACGACATCTCAAAGCCAGTCTCTCTGGCATTTGTTAAATTACTTGATGAAAAGCTACTTCTAACAAGTTTTTCACAGAAGCTGCCCTCAGTGATTTTTTTATGAACTTGGCAAAGATCATAACTGAGTGTGTGTTGATCAGGCTGATCAGCAGCCAGTTACATTGTCCTTGGTCCCCAGGCTGACTTTTTCCTGCCTGAATAATAAAACGTAAATCATCAAAGTCCCTGGTTTCCATCTATCTAGAGGTCAAACTAACATTTTTAGCAATGAGTGCCTTTGAGTGGCAACACTAAAAAAAAAAGAGTGCTCTGTTTTTTTTTTTTCATTTAGTTTCCCCTGACCTTCAGATAAAGAGGTTTGTGTGCAGATTTAGTTAGCCTGCCAAATGAAGGGTTTTAATTATAAGTCGTGTTATTTATGTGCAACGTGGGGTGCAAAGAGGGAACAATGGATAAAATTCAGACAGGGTTCAAAAGTGAAAATGAGAACTCTAAAACCATCAAAGTGAGCGAGACATCACCCATTAACAGATGGAGACACGGTGGCGACAAAGCAAGCGGCACATTGACACAACCAACTCAGAAGAAGATTTATCAAGGATGACGACTTACTGCAGGAGCAACAAAGGGCTTCGTTTTCTAAAATTGCTATAGATGACAGGTTATCTTCCTAATTAATGCTTTAGCTTATTTATGTTTAAAAGAAAATATAGCTAATCTTCAGAATTGGTTCCTCATTTAATCAGTTTATGCAAATTTTGTTTTAACTAACAAAACTGCATTTCCCGCAAAATTGCAGCGTGAACGCATATTGCAGAAGAACTTGCTGAGAAACAGCTGAAATTAGCTAAATAAAAACATGCTGAAATGGAAGAACAAGCCTAAATTAGCACAAGGAAGCAGAAAGAACACATTTGCTGAAATTTGTTTAAATATTCAGAAATTAGCAGAAAACATATGAAAGTAGCTAAAACGAATTAGCACAAAAAAGGCTAAAAAATAGCTGAAAGTCAGAAAGAAACTTGAACTCTCAGAAGGAAGCAGAATGAGCTGAAATTAGCTAAAATAATGTTGAATTAGCTGAAAAGGCTAAAATTAGCAGAAATGGCTAAATAGTAGCTGAAATAACATAAACTAGCATGAATAAGCTGAAAAAAGCATAACAAGCTGAAATTAGCTTAAAGAGGTTAATTAGGCTGAAAGTAGCAGGAATTACCACAAAAAATTAATTTATCTGAAAACAGCTGAAATTAGCTATAAAAAATTGCTAAAAATTTAGCTGAAATCAGAAAGAGCATGTTTGCCCAGTTAGGCTGAAAGAAGCAGAACTGAGCACAAAGAAGTGGAAATTATCTTAAAAAGCTTAAATTAGGAGGAAAATGAAACGGCTGAAAAGTAGCTAAAAAAGCAGAAAGAAGTTTACATTACTAGAAGGAAGTGGAGAGAGGACATTTTAGCTGAATTAGGCTGAAAAAAGTTTTAAATGAATGTAATAAATGTCAAATTAGCCGAAAAAGCTAAAATTTGCATAAGACAGCTAAATAGTAGCTGAAATGACAGAAAAAGCTGAAACTTGCATAAATAAGCTGAAAGGAGCATAACATGCTGAAATTAGCAGAAAGAAGTTAATTAGGCTGAAAGAAGCACAAACATGTTATAGTTGTCAGAAAGGATCACAAAACAGCTGAAATTAGCTGAAAGTAGCTGAAAAATGTTAACATTTGCACAAGGAAGCTGAAAGAAGCTGAACCAGAACAAAAAGTAAAAGGAGCAGTAAACGGTTGTAAACGTATCTAAAGATTTGAAGGATGTAAAATAAACTCAACTCATTTTCTATGAGAAAAAAATGGCAGAAAAGGCTAAATATTTAAAAAAAGCTAAAGCTGCACCAATACCAAAAGTCATAGCAGGATTGTCCTGAATGCGCTGAACGTTTTGATATGATTTGCTGAAGTAGCTCAAAGTTTATGGAACGAGAAAAATGCTGAAAAACGTACGGAAGAAAAACGGATCACAACAGTGTGAATGCTTCATAAACATTCACACTGTTGTGATCCGTTTCTCACTGTAAAGTCTTAACGTAATATTTTGTGCTTGCAGGTGTGGAGCTGTGAATCCTGGCAGTGTGAGTACGTACTGAGAGGCCACCAGGAGTGTGTCAGAAGCTGCCGGTTTTCCTGGGACGGCCAGCGCCTCGCAACAGGAGATGACAACGGAGAGATTCGGGTGTGCATTTGAGAATATTTCTTATTCTGTTAAGCTGCGCAGAATGCAAATGCAGACGGATTAGGAGTTACGGGAACAATGCAAAATGAGATGTGCTCTTCGTGTGTCAACACATTAACCAGCTCTGTGCTGCACTCGTGAGAATCGATGACGGAGCCTCTAATTTTCTGTTCAAAATACAAAAAGCAATTACAGCAGTCAACATTTATTTCCAGAATTCACCCTCTAATTACATGTCATCCCTCATTTAGATAAAGTGCTTACTCGTGATTAGCGCCGTGCACACAGGAGGGGCTGAGATGAAAGAGAGGAGGCAGGGCTCCTCCTCGTAAGGAGGTGTAGTGTAAGAAGTTTGGGAGCGAGCAGGAACAGGAGGCTCGTGCTGCCAAATCGGATCTCTGAGGTCTGCGCAGAGCACAGAGTGAACTGAGGTAGAGAGCAACGTGCGTCCTTCAGCCTGCAGCAGAAAAGTCAGTGATCAGTTTAGAAATGACTGAATCCAAGAGGTGCGATTACACAACATCCTGAAATCTCCTCTGTCTCCATGGAAACAACAAGCATGCCAACAAATAAATATAGCTGCGTGTGATGTGTCATTGTCCAATAAGTATGGCAGTTGCGTAACATCTGTAAACCAACACAATCCTCAATTCACAAGTTCTCATTTAGTTCAGTGCAAAAGTCTTAATCCATCCCCCTGTTTTGTTTGAAAGGAACCAGACTTCCTTTTCATCGTTTACCAACGTCGTGAGCAATGGTTCTGCAGCGTTTCTGAATGTTTTTCTCAATGTTTTTTATTTTTTAATTGTTGGCTGCTTGATATCTCTCCATTAGCCAAAAATCTGGCACATTTTTGGCATGTTGTTCATTTTGCAAAGAGCTGCTATGAGTGAGGTTCTTACAAACAATTAAAATTTGTGTTTTTGCCAAGGATTGTTGGAGTTCAGCGTATGGAACCAAGATGACTCTCAGCTAACCCTACACCAATTATTTGCCAAACGTGTGTAAAATTAACCGAGTTAAATCCGTTCTTTTTGTGTTTATGGTTGATTTAGCTGTGGCAGCCATCTTGAATTGTGTTGACTCTGAAAATTAATCACGATTAACCTATAATTAACTTTGTTACACACACAAACACAGGCAATTGCATAAATGTTTGCTTTTCATGACAGCAGGCAATAAATATTATTAAACAACTGTATAAGAAAAATGGAAAAGAAGACAATGGTCTTAAAAGAACTTAAAATATAATTTAAAAACACCAGTAACAATTGCTCGCATAACAGAAAAAGCACAAGAACACATGGGTCCTTGAAAGAAAAAATAAAAGATCAAATAAAAATAAAGCAACGTTGTACCTTGATGTTATGGTACATTCTCAGTCATCCACATATACAGTGACAGAAACTTTGATTTTCTGTTATCCAAGTGCTTAGGTGGCTCAAAACCTTTGCACAGACATTAATTTGCATAATTTCAAACTGTTTGTACCACATCACTAATGCCCCATTTACACTGCCCCCAATAAGCCCCAATTCTGCACAGCCCGCTATAGAAAGACTCTTTTGCACCAGTACTTTAGCTAGTATTTTTAGCTGATTTGAGGCTGATTCAGGACCTCTTTGGACCGAGCGAGCTCAGTCGAGCCGAGTCCGGACCAAAAAGTGAATGCAGGATGCTGATTGGTCAGGGGGAGGAGTCACTGGATCTCAGAAACTTTTCACCGATCCGCCATTTGCAATTTCTTGGGACGCGGATCAGCGGCTGGATCTATTTGTAAGATTTTATGAACAATAATGACAACGCCGTGTTTAATTCTGAAGTCCAGGCGTTTTTTGTGTTTGGTGACTGACGACAAAATTTGAGCGAGCGGAGTCACCGCGGAGGATCGTACGAGCTGCCGACCCATTGAAGCATGCGAGGCCAGACCCCGAGCCCCGGCCTCGCCTGCTCACAAAGTCCAGATTCCGAGCCCTGGCAGGCGGGAGGACTGGGATGGAGGGTGGAAATGTTTTTTTAAAAACATTTTATGTATAAAAATATACATTATTTTTATCATCCATCCATCCATTATCTTTTACCCGCTTCTTCCATTTTGGGTCATGGGGGTCGCCGGTGTTCATGTCCGGCAATCACTGTGCGAGGGGCAGGGTACACCCTGGACGGATCCCAAGTCCATCACAGAGACGCATAGAGACAAACGAGACAAACAACCATTCACTCTCTCACTCACACCTAGGGACAATTTAGAGTTAACAATCAGTCTAACATGCATGTTTTTGGTCTGTGGGAGGAAACTGGAGTACCCGGAGGAAACCCACACATGCACGGAGAGAACATGCAAACTCCACCCAATAAGGCCCCCGGACCGGGATTTGAACCAGGGACCTGCTCACTGAGAGGCAGCAGCTCTACCAGTTGCGCCACCGTGCTGCCCATCCTGTTTTCACTTTGACTTTATTAAATAATCTGTTAATTAAAGTTAACTCAGCTGAAAAATCATTAAAAAGACAAAATTATTGGATCTCAGGAATATTTCCCTCAAACATGTTTAAAGAATAGGCACAACCTTTGGTTCAACTTTATTCTAACCCACCGCTGTACAAATCACAAAACAAGAATTACACTTTAAATTAAAGCTTTAAATCAAAGCTAAAAAATTATCTGTATACAAAAATAATAATCTATATACAAGAAAAATAATCTTTATACAAGAAACAAAACCACAATGAGTGCAAATACATCAAATGATGAAGAAAAATATATAATTTTAAATATAGATATCCTGATGCATGCTCAATAATCCAGGTAGAAAAATCTAAAAAAAAAGTTAAGTCTGGTCCTCTGCATTCAAAAAACAAAACAAAAAATTGTAGAAACGTTTCTTCTTTCATCCGAAAGACTTCGTCTGAGGTGCTGTATTCAGTTAGCTTAGTCTTATAAATAGCACCAAGACTGAAGAAGTCTTTCGGATGAAAGAAGAAACGTTTCTACTATTTTTTTGTTTGTTTTGATTTTTGAATGTCCAGAGGACCCGACGTAACTTTTTTAGATTTAAATCTAGATGTCTTTGTAAAATCTGGTTCATCAGATTGAACTCAGTTCAGTTTTTTTATACAGCGCCAAGTCACAACTGACGTTTTCTCAGGGCACTGAACAGAAATATTCATATATAATAATAATAATTTAATATTATTTATCTGAGGAGCAAACCGCTTTGAGGAGCTCATCGCAGAACTCTCATTAGCAGGACTTGGATTCTGGACACGCCTCCAGAATCGGTCCTGAAATGCAGGTGCAAATCCAGGCTGAGCAGAGTTGGGGCTGATTAGGAGCAGTGCAAATGGGGCCTTTAAAAAAAAAAAATACTGTTTATCCTCATAGTCGCCTTTGTCAAGCTGGAATGGTGAAGCACATGGTGACCCAGATATAATTAGGTTATAGCACTACACAGTCACTCAGTAGGTCTGTTTTTAAGACGGTTTTAATAAAAAGACAAAAGTCAAAATGGAGCATTTCTGTTAGACATAAACAGTGCTCCAGAAATGTGTTTGATAAAAAACAACACATTTAAACTTATTCTAGGTCACCACCACAAAGTGTGATATTTTTGACACTAGAGACCCCAAACATATGATATTTTTAGGGTCTAACATTTAAGGAGATCCCTGTGCCCAAACAATGTAACATTACTGACTAGGTTTACAATATTAGACACTAATCAAAACACTCTGGGGTTTTTTCTGTGTTAAAACAGACACATTTTATTTTAAGATCCCTCAGGTTGTGACCACTCTGCTTTGTTGCACCATCAAAGTAAACCTTGCCTAAGTTTCTGCAGTTGATTCAAGAGGGAAACCAGTTCTACGAGCCTGGTTTAAGTCTTTGTTGGTAATCACCAGCATTTAGTTAGTTGTTATTTATAACGTGCAACTTCTGTCTGCCACAGCTCTGGAGTGTCAAAGATGGCTCTTTACTGAAGATTTGTTCCCGGGACAGTAAAGACGGCATGGACTCGCTTCACGGAGGCTGGGTGACAGATCTCCACTTCTCACCAGACAACTCTCTTCTCGTCTCAACCGGAGGCTACATCAAGGTATGTAAACAGAAGCTCGAAGTCCAGGTGAACTGGTGTAAATCCTGACGGAGAGGACACATTGTTGTCTTCAGTAATCGTGTGAATGTTTATGAAGCACTCACACTGTTGTGATCCTTTTTTCTTCCGTATGTTTTTCTGCATCTTTCTCGTTACACAATGTTTGCGCTATTTGAACAAATCATAGATCAAAATGTTCAGCTCATTCAGGACAATCCTGCTATGACTTTTGGTATTGGTGCAACAGCTTCTTGAAATATTTAGCCTTTTCTGCCATTTTTTTTCCTTATAGAAAGTAAACTGAGCTCATTTTACATCCTTCAGATCTTTAGATTTGTTTATAAACTTTTACTGCTCCTTTCACATTTTATTCTGGTTCAGCTTCTTTCAGCTTCCTTGTGCCAAAAAAAAAAAAAAGAGCTAATTTCAGCTGTTTTTTTCAGCTGTTTTGTGATCCTTTCTGATTCTTTAACTACAACATTTGTCACTTCTTTTAACTTATTTCTGCTAATTTCAGCTTGCTATGCTCCTTTCAGCTTTTTATGCTAGTTTTAGCTTTTTCTACTCTTTCAGCTACTATTTAGCTCTTTCGATGCAAATTTGATATTTTTCAGCTATCTCCACTTTTTTTTTTTTTTTTAGCTTATTTCTGTTCTTTCCACCTCCTTCTGGTGGTTTAAGCTTCTTTCTGCATTTTTGTTAGGATAATTTATTATTATCCTTGTAATAACTCTTTAAATAAATGTGCCACACAGGAGAGGTAGATATTTTCTTAATCCCAGGTTTTAATCTTGTAAGGTGGAGCAGTGTTGAAATACAAGCATCAAAATGTTACATGACGCTCCATCCCGAGTCTGGGCGCTGAGAGCTTAAAAGAGCGTTTTTTTATATTTGTTATCAGACAAAGGCAAGGTCAGACGACTGCTGCAGCCTCTTGCAGCACTCTGATCCAGACAAAACAACTCTTTAACACACACACATGGTTATATGAGTTATAACATTTGACTTCAGTAAGTGAAAAACATCTGTGACTTGTCGCATCTCCATCATTTTTCAGCTACTTTTCATGTATTTTTTGCGAATTTCAGCTGTTTTTTTAAACTAATTTTCAAATTTTTATGCTCATTTCTCCTTATTTATACCCAATTCAGCAAATATGAGTTCTTTCTGCTTTCTTCTGCTAATTTAGGCTTGTTCTTCCATTTCAGCTACATTTCAGCATGTTTTTTATTTTGTCGTTGCTAATTTCAGCTGTTTTTCAGCAAGTTCTTCAGCAATAAGTTGAATAAACACTGCATTTTCACAGGAAATGCAATTGCTCTAGTTAATGTTATATCTCATTTACATAATGAATAAATCCCAGATGATTGTTTTACTGAAGCCCTGTGCATGTCAGAACTAGATTCACCACTGTGTTTTAGCAGACACACAATTAATCTTTTGTCACACTTTATTTAAGCTTTTGTTATAAAGTTAATTTGCAAGATGACACAAAGTTACAGAGGGAAAGGGAAGAGAGAAATTAGACACAAGTATCATTAAATAATGTTTCCTGCTGGATTTAAGCCAACCATGTAGATGATTTATGGTTGATGCTTTCCTGGGGATGTGTGTTGAGTAAAACAACTTAACCTGTGATTTATTAGGAATTAAAACAGTTCCATAAACTACAAGCATGACAGAAAACGTTCATTGTCCAAGGAAAACAAGCATGACAAAGTCACAAAGTTATTTTATTAAAACAACCTCACAAACTATAAAAGGGCTTTAAATAGTGATTTAAACAAGAGTACTGTCTTTAAAGCATTAATGTTCTCTAGGACACTGATGGATAACAGATGGGCAGTGGACAAAAGTGTGTGTTTTCGTCCACCCACTGATGGACTATAAATTGGTCAGCATATTAAATATTAAAACTCCAAACCTCATTTTTCTGTGTCCTCCTTGAACTACACAAACCGTTCTGAGTCATCAAGGAGGGAAATGTGATTACATTAATTGTCCATGGGAAATATTCACCTACATCCAGCAAGCCAAGATTATCTTAGCACTGTCTAAAGCTTCTATTTCATCATATAGACTGATCCTAATCGCTGAATTCACCAGTATATTTGCCTCACTGATTGTTAAATAATTTTATAATGTCATACTGAATGAGGCCGTGTGTGTGTTTGAACCTAATCAATGAGTAAATTCATATTTCTGCCTTTAAAAAAAAAAAATATTGGCTACATGAGTGAAAACATGCTAAAGTGGTTGTTAAAACTATACATTGCATTATTTGTGGCTTAGTTTGGGAAAGTGGCTTAAAAAAATGTTACGGTCTTCTGTTTGATGCTACGCTTCTTTCTCAACCAGGTGGCATGACTAGTTGCTACTGCCAATGGGTTATTTTCAGCAGCGCAGAGCTTTGCTTACAATTCCATAAGCCTCACCAGCAGCGCTAAGCTTTCATTTATTGCAAAAGGGAGCAGAGGAATAACTGAACATCTGACGTTTTGAGCAAGAATAAGAGAAAGGGAGCAGAATAGCACTTTAAAAAAAAACAATACAAAAATAAACACTAGATACAATTGGATTTTCTTTAAGAAGTTGATTCTCTTTATGGGAGCGTAACCTTGAGTGTTGCTTACCATAACAAATGTGTACCACACAACCATCTCCACGAAAACTATGAATATTACCAACTGATCTGATGACGTGTCTGTAATTAAACCAAGCTCATGTCTTAAGGCCTGGTTATTCTTCACAAGACATACGACATCGGATCTTGTTGACGTGATTGTGAGGCGGTCTTTTTTTACATGTACAATTCCTTCACTCAGAGAAGCTGTGGGGGTGACGTCCTGATAGGCTCTCCCACTGCAGCACGTCACGTGCAAACAGCAGCAACACAGTGGCAGCGCGGTTGGCAGAGAATGGGCGTTTATTTCCAGTTGATGATGGAGTTGGAGGAGGAAGAGCTGGTATTTTTGTTAACTGAGGAAAAGCCCTATTATGTAAAATTGTCACAAATTTGAAAAATGCTGATACGCTTGTTAGGCCTGTCACAATAACAAATTTTGCTGGGTGATTGTCTCAGAAATTATTGCGATAAACGATAATATTGTTTGAAATTTGACAATAATTAGTCATTATTGTCAAATGTAAGAAGAAATGTTTAATTTGTTTTGAGCGTTGTACCTTTTTTAAACATTGTATGGCAGTATAAGACTGTTTGAACCAAAGGATGGATAGTGAGGGAGAGAGCACTGTGCGTCTCTTTAAGAAAAATGGGAGGGAGGCCCCTTGACGTGACATGGGCTGTCCTTCCTTTTTTTCTGGTTCTCAAAATGGCGGAGGCTCTGTGTGGTTTGAGCTCTTTAGCATAGCATTTGTCACACAAAGCTTTTAATAAAAAAATCAGTAAACAAGTTCTCAGCTTCTTTTTGCAGAGAAAAACAACTTTTTAGAGGAAGGCACGGATTTCAACTGTGAATTTTGGAGCTTCGACAAGACAGCATTTTTTTTCCTGAGTTCGGCCTGTTAGCTTAGCTGCTTTTAACGATCCAAAAACGTGATTTTAGATCGTTAAAACAGATTTTAAAGAGAAAGGGAGGGGTCAGTGAAGAAAGAGACACGACGAAACAATAAAGCCGATAAATGAAAATGATCAAACTCATTTTAATTTATCATGTGATTAATTGATTTATTGTTTATCGCAACAGGCCTAACGCTTGTAAGTTTTCATAAACAAATGCACAAGATGGAGTCTCAGAAGGTGGTGCGAGAAGAAAAATATACATGCATTCAGGTCAGCGTCTCACTTTTACTCACATGGAGTATAAACCAGGCTTTAATGGGTTCTCACTGATGCACCTGTCCGCATGTGTTTTGGCTCAAACCGATGTTTTGACTAAGGCTAGCACTGCTGTGTTGTATTTGTGAGCATTGTATCCTAAGTGGTTCAATAAAAAAAACAATTGGATTTCTCTTGTTTTTTGGAGACTGGCTTCTTCCGTTCTGACCGCAGTTTGGAAGTATCAGGCTTATTATAAGCCGTTGTTTTAACTATCTGCATAATGCGAGATCCTTTTAAGTTTGCAAAAGTCGCTGACCCACATGTACGATTGTTGCAAAGCTGCAGGTTGATGGTAAAAACCCTCTTAATCATTATTTAAGAGAAACATGTCAATGTCACCTTGTGACGTGACTGGAATAATGCGCACCTCTTTGTTATTGTCTTTACTTTTACAGCAGACGGGGTCACAAAGCGGCCAGTCTCTGCTGATTGACTGCATGTTGAGCAATGATGTAATTCTCCTGGGAGAAGCCTTCTGATCGATGAGCTTGTGTATCTCAGATTACTGCTGATACTCTGTGTGGGGCGGAGGGGTGCTGTTGTGTTCATGGATGTGTGCTTTTGTTTATACGTGCACGCACACAGGTCGATGGAGATATTTCTGTTGATGGCGATGGATGCGGTGGTTCAGGCTTTTTATTGAAAACACAGACCATCATGTCGTCTGCAGCAGATTCTTCATGATGAGATCATAAAACCTGGAAATGATTTGAAACTTAATTACAATCTCTCATTTCCATTCTTTGCTTATTGTTGTATTTTGTTCTCTCTAAAGATGTTAAAAGCTGTCGGGGAAACATCGATCTGAGAAAGCACACATTGTGCAGTTGAGTAGAGCAGTGTAAAACCTCACTTGTCTGTTGAAATGAAAATGGAAGGAAGAAAACACACTAAATGTAATGAAATGAGATTATAAAGTGCTAAATGAAGTGCCTTAAATTGTGTGTGGCTGCAGCGGAGTCCATATGAAGAAAAAATGTTACTGACACGAAGGAAGAGAAATGGAAGTTAAGATTGCTTTTAGTTGTCATTCTATATTTGAACAAAATACATAAAATGTTTCAATTAAATGTGAATACATCCACACATAAATTAAGTCAGTATTTCTGATCAGGCCATGTTATCTAAAGTTTAAAATATAATGTTCTAAATTCATGAA